GGAGGCTCTGATACCATGAGAAAACCTGAAACCCTAGCAGAGAATTAGGGTAAACACAGAAGAAGAAGAGAGGCAACGTTGGGGGAATTTGCCGAGAGGCTTCATTCCATTTTCTGAGAGCAATATATACATCTGTCTCTACAGCCGAGTTACCACTATCAAACAACAAAGTTAAAGTAGAATACTGTTTACTAACGGTAACTAAACTATCCAACTACAAAATGCCAAGTGGCTATTTATCTATTATCTTCTGGTTCACTATGCAACGCCGTTCTCTTCTTGTAGAGTTCACTACTTAGATGAAAGCGACGTCGGATGGGCAGCCTCTTCTTCGTCTTCAACACAGGTGAAAGGAAGCCTGAGTTGACTCTGAATCTTCAAGCTCTGCATCTATGGCTGCCAACAGCATCACTCCTTCACAGGCCCCCTCAAGCTGGGAGGAACATATTGTGAACTCCTAGCTTGGTGAGCAAAGTATCAAAGCGATCAGAAGACAACCCTTTTGTGAAGAAATCTGCAAGTTGCTCTTCTGATTGGATGTGATGTAAGGATAGTAAACCAGACCTCAGTCTTTCACGAGTTACATGACAATCGACTTCTATATGTTTTGTGCGCTCGTGAAAGACTGGGTTTTCGGCAATATGTAAAGCATATTGATTGTCACAATAGATTCGAATTGGTGATGGATGCTCAACACCATAGAAACCCAGAAGTGACTTCAGCCACTGAACCTCACACGAGAGCTGAGCTAAAGCTCTATACTCCGCTTCAGACGAGGAACGGGAAACAGTAGATTGTTTCTTACTCTTCCAAGTAATCAATGAGTTCCCAAGAAAAGTACAGTAACCCGTCACTGAGCGCCTTGTGTCAGGGCAAGTTGCCCAGTCAGAGTCACAGTAGCCTGTAAGATGAGTCGAATTGGAAGAAGGGAACCACAGACCTTGAGATGGATGAGCTTTTAAGTACCTGAGTATCCTGTGCAACGCTTGCAAATGAGAAGTGGTTGGGGCCCCCTGAAATTGACAGAGCTGCTGAACAGGGAAGCAGATGTCAGGTCTGGTGGTCGTGAGATACTGAAGCTGCCCTAAAAGATGACGAAAATCAGAGCCATCTGGAAGAGGAACACCATCAGAAGCTGATAAAGAAGTCTTCATGCTCATTGGAGTTTTGGCAGGCTTAGATTCAAGGAAGCCAGCATCTGATAGTAATTCCAAACAGAATTTGCGTTGGCAAAGAGAAATGCCATCAGCAGATCGGGCAATTTCAACCCCAAGGAAATACTTGAGAGTACCCAAGTCTTTGATTTTGAAGGACATATGTAGATGATTCTTGGTCTGTGTAATGAGTTCTGTGTCATTTCCAGCAATGATCAAATCATCAACATAGATGATCACAATGACACAGGATTCCTGACGTTGTAATTTAAAGACAGAATAATCATCATAAGATTGAATGAACCCAAAACTCTGTAAACACTGACTGAGTTTAAGGTACCACTGACGACTGGCCTGCTTGAGACCATAAATCGATTTTCTGAGTTTACAGACCTTGCCTTGCATCCCTGCCTGTTCTTTGAGATTGGGAGGAAGCTCCATGTAAACTTCCTCATCCAGATCCCCATGTAAAAACGCGTTACTGACATCCATTTGTTGCAAATCCCAACCCTTAATAGCAGCAACAGCCAAGAGCAGCTTAACAAAATTCATTTTTGCCACTGGAGAGTAAGTATCCATAAAATCCACTCCATGTGTTTGTGTATAACCCTTGGCAACTAAACGTGCCATGCACCTTTCAACAGAACCATTAGGCAAGTATTTGGTTTTATAAACCCATTTATTCCCAACAACAGGTTTGTTAACAGGACGATCAACCACATCCCAAGTCCTGTTGGCATCCAGTGCTGCCATTTCCTCAGTCATGGCATTGTCCCAGCAAGGAATCAGTTTTGCCTGTTTGTAACTTTGAGGTTCAGGAAGGACAGTAATGGACAAGGAGAAATGTTTGTGAGAAGGAGGAAGGTGGTCATAAGTGATGCAGTCACTAAGAGGATAAAGAAGTTTAGGGTCATGGGAAGAAGGTGTAGCAGAAAGGAGACTGACATGGTAATCAGATAGATAAGCAGGTTTATGTAAAGTCCTGGATGTTTTTCGAAGAGCAATAGGAAGAGTAGAAGGGGAAGAACTGGACTGACCAGAAGGAACAAAATCAGGATCAACAGTATCAGCCACATTATGGTCAGAAGGCAAAGGAGGTTACTGATATGTGGTGTCAAAGAAGAGAGAATGAAAAAGAGAAGATGAGAGAGGATCAGGGGAGGTAGCAGGCAAAGAATCAGAGGGAGAAACAGGCAACTGAGCTTGCTGGAAAGGGAAAACATCCTCATAAAATACAACATCCCTACTGATGAAAACCTGGAGTGTATCCAAATCAAAAAGTTTGAAACCTTTCACATCAAATGGGTATCCCAGGAAAGCTGCTCTTCTAGCTCTGGGATCAAACTTGCCTTTATGCTCATCCAGAACAGTGGCATAGGCCATACAACCAAATACCCTCAGATTGCTATAGTCAGGTGGAACACCATAGAGACATTCAAAAGGGGATTTGTTCTCCAAAAGAGGTGTAGGAATCCTATTGATCAAATAGGCAGAATGAAGAACAAAATGACTCCAAAAGCTCTTAGGTAAACCAGATTGCAGTTTGAGGGATCTAGCAACATTCAAAAGATGTTGGTGTTTCCTTTCCACCCTGCCATTCTGCTGAGCAGTTCTCACACAGCTCATTTGATGAATAATACCTTGAGATTGGTAGAATTCAGGCATATTGAATTCTTGGCCCTGATCAGATCTTATAACCTTGACAGATTTATCAAACTGATTCTTCACCATCAAGCAAAAAGAATGCAACAAAGACCTAGCTTCTGATTTGAAGCCCATAAGAAACAACCAAGTGCAACGACTGTAATCATCCACTATGGTAAGGAAATATTTGTAACCATCATGAGAAACTACATCAACAGGTCCCCATATATCAACATGGATCAAATCAAACACAGACTTGCTACGAGATTGACTAAGAGGAAAAGGAAGCCTCTTTTGTTTGGACAACTGACATATCTCACAGTGAGAACTAGAAGGAACAAAAACGTCATTACAATGTTTCTGAATGGTCTGTAATCTAGGAAGAGATAAATGGCCAAGCCTAAGGTGCCACAAGGTAGAATCCTGACTGGTTTTCACTCCACAGATTTGAGGTAAGGTTGTGTTTGGACTCCCAGCAGCACTCCCAAGCAAGTAGAGCCCTCTATCTACCCGGATTGAACCAATCTTCTGTTGTGATATTAGGTCCTGGATACAACAGAAGTTGGATTCAAAGGTGAGTGAGACTGGAGTGTTTTTGGTTAACTGACTAACAGAGATAAGGTTATAGGAAAAAGAAGGGACTAAGAGAACATTGGTGAGCAGAATATCACAAGGAAGTTTAACCAATCCAATGTGAGTGACTTTGGATTTTTGACCATTAGGTAAGTTGACAAACATATGGGGAACCTCTTGAGAGCGCAAGAACAAGTTCACATTGCAAATGATGTGATCACTGGCACCAGTGTCAAGAACCCAAACTGCTGACAGAGCAGCCTCAGAGGTAATGGAAGAAAAAAAGCTACCTGAAATTGGTGGATGAGAGCCACTAGGACGAGTCAGAACAGAATTGGACTGGGGAAATTGAGCAGGAGGATGAGGATGATGTTGCTGGAGAAGGCTGCGCAGCTTGTGAATCTCATCAGCAGAGAACCAAAGAGGTTGACCCTCTTGACTGGTCCTGGGCTCAGAAACAGGATTGGATGGACTTTGAGAGCTCCCTCCAGATGAGATCACACCATCATTCCCAGAAGTATCAATGGAACCAGCAAAAGTGCGCCCACCAGCCTCATTCTTCCTCTTATTCTTCAACTTAAAACAGTCCTCAATGACATGGTTCTCCTTCTTGCAGTAACGGCAAAAGAGTTCTTGAGACTTCTTACCATCCTTGCCAGAATCCCTGCGTTGGCCAGATTGACCAGATAAAGCGGCAAGGGCAATGGATTCAGCAGTAGTCTTGGTTTTGCCAGTGGTCATTTGACGCTCAAGCTGAACAACAGCCCGATAGACTGTGTCCATATCAGGTAAGGGATCAAGCATAAGCATCTGGGTTTTGACCTGCTGATAGTTCTCGTTCAAACCCAGTAAGAAACAAATCACTCGCCCCCTATCCCGATACCTGATCACCGTTTCAGAACATTTGGAAGCACATTCACAGACAGGAATCGGTTCATAATGTTCCTGTTCATCCCACAAAAGCTTCAAATCAGTATGATATTGACGCACAGTTTTAGTGCCCTGTTTAGTGAGATCAACCTTCTCCTGCAGATTAGCAATCCGCACAGAGTCATCCTGACTAAACTTAGATCTCAAGTAACCCCAAGCATCAGCAGCAGATCTGATGGAACGCAGACTAGGAACGATGTCCTCAGAAACAGAATTGCGAATCCAACAGAGAATAGTACCGTTGCAACGATCCCAAGTGCTACGAGAAGGATCAGTGTCATCAGGTACCTGAACTGTGTCGTCGATGAAACCCCATTTGTTCTTGGTGCGAAGAGCAACCTCCATGGATTCACTCCAGAGAAGGTAATTGTCATCATTCAACTTGAAGCTGATGACAGGGAGAAATGAATTGTCACTGGCAGCCAAGTATAAGGGGTTGGAATAAGGATCTTCATAGCGAGACGCAGGGTTTGGGTTGGTGGTGGTGGAAGTACCAGAACTAGGAGAAGTGAAATCAGCCATGGAGAAGCAAAAGAAGGAAGAAAGAAAACGAACAGAGGAAAAACAGAATCGACACTCCTAGATCGGAGGCTCTGATACCATGAGAAAACCTGAAACCCTAGCAGAGAATTAGGGTAAACACAGAAGAAGAAGAGAGGCAACGTTGGGGGAATTTGCCGAGAGGCTTCATTCCATTTTCTGAGAGCAATATATACATCTGTCTCTACAGCCGAGTTACCACTATCAAACAACAAAGGTAAAGTAGAATACTGTTTACTAACGGTAACTAAACTATCCAACTACAAAATGCCAAGTGGCTATTTATCTATTATCTTCTGGTTCACTATGCGACTCCGTTCTCTTCTTGTAGAGTTCACTACTTAGATGAAAGCGACGTCGGATGGGCAGCCTCTTCTTCGTCTTCAACACAGGTGAAAGGAAGCCTGAGTTGACTCTGAATCTTCAAGCTCTGCATCTATGGCTGCCAACAGCATCACTCCTTCACAGGCCCCCTCAAGCTGGGAGGAACATATTGTGAACTCCTAGCTTGGTGAGCAAAGTATCAAAGCGATCAGAAGACAACCCTTTTGTGAAGAAATCTGCAAGTTGCTCTTCTGATTGGATGTGATGTAAGGATAGTAAACCAGACCTCAGTCTTTCACGAGTTACATGACAATCGACTTCTATATGTTTTGTGCGCTCGTGAAAGACTGGGTTTTCGGCAATATGTAAAGCATATTGATTGTCACAATAGATTCGAATTGGTGATGGATGCTCAACACCATAGAAACCCAGAAGTGACTTCAGCCACTGAACCTCACACGAGAGCTGAGCTAAAGCTCTATACTCCGCTTCAGACGAGGAACGGGAAACAGTAGATTGTTTCTTACTCTTCCAAGTAATCAATGAGTTCCCAAGAAAAGTACAGTAACCCGTCACTGAGCGCCTTGTGTCAGGGCAAGTTGCCCAGTCAGAGTCACAGTAGCCTGTAAGATGAGTCGAATTGGAAGAAGGGAACCACAGACCTTGAGATGGATGAGCTTTTAAGTACCTGAGTATCCTGTGCAACGCTTGCAAATGAGAAGTGGTTGGGGCCCCCTGAAATTGACAGAGCTGCTGAACAGGGAAGCAGATGTCAGGTCTGGTGGTCGTGAGATACTGAAGCTGCCCTAAAAGATGACGAAAATCAGAGCCATCTGGAAGAGGAACACCATCAGAAGCTGATAAAGAAGTCTTCATGCTCATTGGAGTTTTGGCAGGCTTAGATTCAAGGAAGCCAGCATCTGATAGTAATTCCAAACAGAATTTGCGTTGGCAAAGAGAAATGCCATCAGCAGATCGGGCAATTTCAACCCCAAGGAAATACTTGAGAGTACCCAAGTCTTTGATTTTGAAGGACATATGTAGATGATTCTTGGTCTGTGTAATGAGTTCTGTGTCATTTCCAGCAATGATCAAATCATCAACATAGATGATCACAATGACACAGGATTCCTGACGTTGTAATTTAAAGACAGAATAATCATCATAAGATTGAATGAACCCAAAACTCTGTAAACACTGACTGAGTTTAAGGTACCACTGACGACTGGCCTGCTTGAGACCATAAATCGATTTTCTGAGTTTACAGACCTTGCCTTGCATCCCTGCCTGTTCTTTGAGATTGGGAGGAAGCTCCATGTAAACTTCCTCATCCAGATCCCCATGTAAAAACGCGTTACTGACATCCATTTGTTGCAAATCCCAACCCTTAATAGCAGCAACAGCCAAGAGCAGCTTAACAGAATTCATTTTTGCCACTGGAGAGTAAGTATCCATAAAATCCACTCCATGTGTTTGTGTATAACCCTTGGCAACTAAACGTGCCCTGCACCTTTCAACAGAACCATTAGGCAAGTATTTGGTTTTATAAACCCATTTATTCCCAACAACAGGTTTGTTAACAGGACGATCAACCACATCCCAAGTCCTGTTGGCATCCAGTGCTGCCATTTCCTCAGTCATGGCATTGTCCCAGCAAGGAATCAGTTTTGCCTGTTTGTAACTTTGAGGTTCAGGAAGGACAGTAATGGACAAGGAGAAATGTTTGTGAGAAGGAGGAAGGTGGTCATAAGTGATGCAGTCACTAAGAGGATAAAGAAGTTTAGGGTCATGGGAAGAAGGTGTAGCAGAAAGGAGACTGACATGGTAATCAGATAGATAAGCAGGTTTATGTAAAGTCCTGGATGTTTTTCGAAGAGCAATAGGAAGAGTAGAAGGGGAAGAACTGGACTGACCAGAAGGAACAAAATCAGGATCAACAGTATCAGCCACATTATGGTCAGAAGGCAAAGGAGGTTACTGATATGTGGTGTCAAAGAAGAGAGAATGAAAAAGAGAAGATGAGAGAGGATCAGGGGAGGTAGCAGGCAAAGAATCAGAGGGAGAAACAGGCAACTGAGCTTGCTGGAAAGGGAAAACATCCTCATAAAATACAACATCCCTACTGATGAAAACCTGGAGTGTATCCAAATCAAAAAGTTTGAAACCTTTCACATCAAATGGGTATCCCAGGAAAGCTGCTCTTCTAGCTCTGGGATCAAACTTGCCTTTATGCTCATCCAGAACAGTGGCATAGGCCATACAACCAAATACCCTCAGATTGCTATAGTCAGGTGGAACACCATAGAGACATTCAAAAGGGGATTTGTTCTCCAAAAGAGGTGTAGGAATCCTATTGATCAAATAGGCAGAATGAAGAACAAAATGACTCCAAAAGCTCTTAGGTAAACCAGATTGCAGTTTGAGGGATCTAGCAACATTCAAAAGATGTTGGTGTTTCCTTTCCACCCTGCCATTCTGCTGAGCAGTTCTCACACAGCTCATTTGATGAATAATACCTTGAGATTGGTAGAATTCAGGCATATTGAATTCTTGGCCCTGATCAGATCTTATAACCTTGACAGATTTATCAAACTGATTCTTCACCATCAAGCAAAAAGAATGCAACAAAGACCTAGCTTCTGATTTGAAGCCCATAAGAAACAACCAAGTGCAACGACTGTAATCATCCACTATGGTAAGGAAATATTTGTAACCATCATGAGAAACTACATCAACAGGTCCCCATATATCAACATGGATCAAATCAAACACAGACTTGCTACGAGATTGACTAAGAGGAAAAGGAAGCCTCTTTTGTTTGGACAACTGACATATCTCACAGTGAGAACTAGAAGGAACAAAAACGTCATTACAATGTTTCTGAATGGTCTGTAATCTAGGAAGAGATAAATGGCCAAGCCTAAGGTGCCACAAGGTAGAATCCTGACTGGTTTTCACTCCACAGATTTGAGGTAAGGTTGTGTTTGGACTCCCAGCAGCACTCCCAAGCAAGTAGAGCCCTCTATCTACCCGGATTGAACCAATCTTCTGTTGTGATATTAGGTCCTGGATACAACAGAAGTTGGATTCAAAGGTGAGTGAGACTGGAGTGTTTTTGGTTAACTGACTAACAGAGATAAGGTTATAGGAAAAAGAAGGGACTAAGAGAACATTGGTGAGCAGAATATCACAAGGAAGTTTAACCAATCCAATGTGAGTGACTTTGGATTTTTGACCATTAGGTAAGTTGACAAACATATGGGGAACCTCTTGAGAGCGCAAGAACAAGTTCACATTGCAAATGATGTGATCACTGGCACCAGTGTCAAGAACCCAAACTGCTGACAGAGCAGCCTCAGAGGTAATGGAAGAAAAAAAGCTACCTGAAATTGGTGGATGAGAGCCACTAGGACGAGTCAGAACAGAATTGGACTGGGGAAATTGAGCAGGAGGATGAGGATGATGTTGCTGGAGAAGGCTGCGCAGCTTGTGAATCTCATCAGCAGAGAACCAAAGAGGTTGACCCTCTTGACTGGTCCTGGGCTCAGAAACAGGATTGGATGGACTTTGAGAGCTCCCTCCAGATGAGATCACACCATCATTCCCAGAAGTATCAATGGAACCAGCAAAAGTGCGCCCACCAGCCTCATTCTTCCTCTTATTCTTCAACTTAAAACAGTCCTCAATGACATGGTTCTCCTTCTTGCAGTAACGGCAAAAGAGTTCTTGAGACTTCTTACCATCCTTGCCAGATTCCCTGCGTTGGCCAGATTGACCAGATAAAGCGGCAAGGGCAATGGATTCAGCAGTAGTCTTGGTTTTGCCAGTGGTCATTTGACGCTCAAGCTGAACAACAGCCCGATAGACTGTGTCCATATCAGGTAAGGGATCAAGCATAAGCATCTGGGTTTTGACCTGCTGATAGTTCTCGTTCAAACCCAGTAAGAAACAAATCACTCGCCCCCTATCCCGATACCTGATCACCGTTTCAGAACATTTGGAAGCACATTCACAGACAGGAATCGGTTCATAATGTTCCTGTTCATCCCACAAAAGCTTCAAATCAGTATGATATTGACGCACAGTTTTAGTGCCCTGTTTAGTGAGATCAACCTTCTCCTGCAGATTAGCAATCCGCACAGAGTCATCCTGACTAAACTTAGATCTCAAGTAACCCCAAGCATCAGCAGCAGATCTGATGGAACGCAGACTAGGAACGATGTCCTCAGAAACAGAATTGCGAATCCAACAGAGAATAGTACCGTTGCAACGATCCCAAGTGCTACGAGAAGGATCAGTGTCATCAGGTACCTGAACTGTGTCGTCGATGAAACCCCATTTGTTCTTGGTGCGAAGAGCAACCTCCATGGATTCACTCCAGAGAAGGTAATTGTCATCATTCAACTTGAAGCTGATGACAGGGAGAAATGAATTGTCACTGGCAGCCAAGTATAAGGGGTTGGAATAAGGATCTTCATAGCGAGACGCAGGGTTTGGGTTGGTGGTGGTGGAAGTACCAGAACTAGGAGAAGTGAAATCAGCCATGGAGAAGCAAAAGAAGGAAGAAAGAAAACGAACAGAGGAAAAACAGAATCGACACTCCTAGATCGGAGGCTCTGATACCATGAGAAAACCTGAAACCCTAGCAGAGAATTAGGGTAAACACAGAAGAAGAAGAGAGGCAACGTTGGGGGAATTTGCCGAGAGGCTTCATTCCATTTTCTGAGAGCAATATATACATCTGTCTCTACAGCCGAGTTACCACTATCAAACAACAAAGGTAAAGTAGAATACTGTTTACTAACGGTAACTAAACTATCCAACTACAAAATGCCAAGTGGCTATTTATCTATTATCTTCTGGTTCACTATGCGACGCCGTTCTCTTCTTGTAGAGTTCACTACTTAGATGAAAGCGACGTCGGATGGGCAGCCTCTTCTTCGTCTTCAACACAGGTGAAAGGAAGCCTGAGTTGACTCTGAATCTTCAAGCTCTGCATCTATGGCTGCCAACAGCATCACTCCTTCACAGGCCCCCTCAAGCTGGGAGGAACATATTGTGAACTCCTAGCTTGGTGAGCAAAGTATCAAAGCGATCAGAAGAAAACCCTTTTGTGAAGAAATCTGCAAGTTGCTCTTCTGATTGGATGTGATGTAAGGATAGTAAACCAGACCTCAGTCTTTCACGAGTTACATGACAATCGACTTCTATATGTTTTGTGCGCTCGTGAAAGACTGGGTTTTCGGCAATATGTAAAGCATATTGATTGTCACAATAGATTCGAATTGGTGATGGATGCTCAACACCATAGAAACCCAGAAGTGACTTCAGCCACTGAACCTCACACGAGAGCTGAGCTAAAGCTCTATACTCCGCTTCAGACGAGGAACGGGAAACAGTAGATTGTTTCTTACTCTTCCAAGTAATCAATGAGTTCCCAAGAAAAGTACAGTAACCCGTCACTGAGCGCCTTGTGTCAGGGCAAGTTGCCCAGTCAGAGTCACAGTAGCCTGTAAGATGAGTCGAATTGGAAGAAGGGAACCACAGACCTTGAGATGGATGAGCTTTTAAGTACCTGAGTATCCTGTGCAACGCTTGCAAATGAGAAGTGGTTGGGGCCCCCTGAAATTGACAGAGCTGCTGAACAGGGAAGCAGATGTCAGGTCTGGTGGTCGTGAGATACTGAAGCTGCCCTAAAAGATGACGAAAATCAGAGCCATCTGGAAGAGGAACACCATCAGAAGCTGATAAAGAAGTCTTCATGCTCATTGGAGTTTTGGCAGGCTTAGATTCAAGGAAGCCAGCATCTGATAGTAATTCCAAACAGAATTTGCGTTGGCAAAGAGAAATGCCATCAGCAGATCGGGCAATTTCAACCCCAAGGAAATACTTGAGAGTACCCAAGTCTTTGATTTTGAAGGACATATGTAGATGATTCTTGGTCTGTGTAATGAGTTCTGTGTCATTTCCAGCAATGATCAAATCATCAACATAGATGATCACAATGACACAGGATTCCTGACGTTGTAATTTAAAGACAGAATAATCATCATAAGATTGAATGAACCCAAAACTCTGTAAACACTGACTGAGTTTAAGGTACCACTGACGACTGGCCTGCTTGAGACCATAAATCGATTTTCTGAGTTTACAGACCTTGCCTTGCATCCCTGCCTGTTCTTTGAGATTGGGAGGAAGCTCCATGTAAACTTCCTCATCCAGATCCCCATGTAAAAACGCGTTACTGACATCCATTTGTTGCAAATCCCAACCCTTAATAGCAGCAACAGCCAAGAGCAGCTTAACAGAATTCATTTTTGCCACTGGAGAGTAAGTATCCATAAAATCCACTCCATGTGTTTGTGTATAACCCTTGGCAACTAAACGTGCCCTGCACCTTTCAACAGAACCATTAGGCAAGTATTTGGTTTTATAAACCCATTTATTCCCAACAACAGGTTTGTTAACAGGACGATCAACCACATCCCAAGTCCTGTTGGCATCCAGTGCTGCCATTTCCTCAGTCATGGCATTGTCCCAGCAAGGAATCAGTTTTGCCTGTTTGTAACTTTGAGGTTCAGGAAGGACAGTAATGGACAAGGAGAAATGTTTGTGAGAAGGAGGAAGGTGGTCATAAGTGATGCAGTCACTAAGAGGATAAAGAAGTTTAGGGTCATGGGAAGAAGGTGTAGCAGAAAGGAGACTGACATGGTAATCAGATAGATAAGCAGGTTTATGTAAAGTCCTGGATGTTTTTCGAAGAGCAATAGGAAGAGTAGAAGGGGAAGAACTGGACTGACCAGAAGGAACAAAATCAGGATCAACAGTATCAGCCACATTATGGTCAGAAGGCAAAGGAGGTTACTGATATGTGGTGTCAAAGAAGAGAGAATGAAAAAGAGAAGATGAGAGAGGATCAGGGGAGGTAGCAGGCAAAGAATCAGAGGGAGAAACAGGCAACTGAGCTTGCTGGAAAGGGAAAACATCCTCATAAAATACAACATCCCTACTGATGAAAACCTGGAGTGTATCCAAATCAAAAAGTTTGAAACCTTTCACATCAAATGGGTATCCCAGGAAAGCTGCTCTTCTAGCTCTGGGATCAAACTTGCCTTTATGCTCATCCAGAACAGTGGCATAGGCCATACAACCAAATACCCTCAGATTGCTATAGTCAGGTGGAACACCATAGAGACATTCAAAAGGGGATTTGTTCTCCAAAAGAGGTGTAGGAATCCTATTGATCAAATAGGCAGAATGAAGAACAAAATGACTCCAAAAGCTCTTAGGTAAACCAGATTGCAGTTTGAGGGATCTAGCAACATTCAAAAGATGTTGGTGTTTCCTTTCCACCCTGCCATTCTGCTGAGCAGTTCTCACACAGCTCATTTGATGAATAATACCTTGAGATTGGTAGAATTCAGGCATATTGAATTCTTGGCCCTGATCAGATCTTATAACCTTGACAGATTTATCAAACTGATTCTTCACCATCAAGCAAAAAGAATGCAACAAAGACCTAGCTTCTGATTTGAAGCCCATAAGAAACAACCAAGTGCAACGACTGTAATCATCCACTATGGTAAGGAAATATTTGTAACCATCATGAGAAACTACATCAACAGGTCCCCATATATCAACATGTATCAAATCAAACACAGACTTGCTACGAGATTGACTAAGAGGAAAAGGAAGCCTCTTTTGTTTGGACAACTGACATATCTCACAGTGAGAACTAGAAGGAACAAAAACGTCATTACAATGTTTCTGAATGGTCTGTAATCTAGGAAGAGATAAATGGCCAAGCCTAAGGTGCCACAAGGTAGAATCCTGACTGGTTTTCACTCCACAGATTTGAGGTAAGGTTGTGTTTGGACTCCCAGCAGCACTCCCAAGCAAGTAGAGCCCTCTATCTACCCGGATTGAACCAATCTTCTGTTGTGATATTAGGTCCTGGATACAACAGAAGTTGGATTCAAAGGTGAGTGAGACTGGAGTGTTTTTGGTTAACTGACTAACAGAGATAAGGTTATAGGAAAAAGAAGGGACTAAGAGAACATTGGTGAGCAGAATATCACAAGGAAGTTTAACCAATCCAATGTGAGTGACTTTGGATTTTTGACCATTAGGTAAGTTGACAAACATATGGGGAACCTCTTGAGAGCGCAAGAACAAGTTCACATTGCAAATGATGTGATCACTGGCACCAGTGTCAAGAACCCAAACTGCTGACAGAGCAGCCTCAGACAAAATAATCGAGAATCGACTGTACGGTTATGATTAACCGACTAATTTAAACGGTGCCATTAACGGTAAGCACAAAGTGCTTGACGGTTAACCGTGAACCGACTAACCGATTACGACCATTTCATAGTTAGGGCCGAAAATACTAGAGCTACATGAGCCGCAAAACATAGGCCGAAAATAATGAGGTGTTTGAAGGATTAAAGACCCCTTGCCTATCCTAATTTTAATAGTGACTGAGACTCAAATGATAATATAATTTAAAGGAAGAGTTTTAGAAGGAGTACATAAGAAACTCAAACTTGGGCACAATTGCTCAACAACAATCAGTAACATTACTTCCATGTAATTTGTGGGGGTTACAAGTTGAGTGATTGTTGCTGGGTCTCTTATCGTTGTATGCTTCTTTAATAAAGTTCAACGGTAGAACGGTATTATTGTGTACTTGTGTTGGATTGAGTTGATTATGTATTGAGATATATATATATATATATATATATATATGGCAAAGGTTAGCGTACGTCCGGGCGTACGCTAGCCTACCGTACGCCCCATTGAGTTTTGCTATTTAGACAATGAATTAATCGGAGTTTGGGACATGATACTATACCCTAACCCCTAATGGGTGAATCCCAGTCCCCAATTCACTAACCCAAAGCATGAGATTCATTTAATCTTAAAAATGAAAATCAATGATTCTGATTCGTCGAAATTTTCATTGGTTTTCATTTTAAGATTAAACGAACCTCATGGTTTGGGTTAGAAAATTAGGGATTAGGGTTCACCCATTAGAGGTTAGGGTATAGTATCATGCCCCAAACTCCGATTAATTCATGATATATATAGCAAAACTCAATGGGGCGTACGCTAGGTTAGCCCTAACTTAAGAAAAGAACGCATGCCTATGTATGAAAACTACAGAAAATTTCAATATTGAAAAAAGAGGTATTTTGTTGGTTAGATTATCGATAGGTTATTTTGGTATAATATTGTCGAATCACTTAGTTAATGGTTATCCTGTATACCGACAAAATAATCGAGAATCGACTGTACGGTTATGATTAACCGACTAATTTAAACGGTGCCATTAACGGTAAGCACAAAATGCTTGACGGTTAACCCTGAACCGACTAAACGGTTCCGATTATAACCAAACCGAACCGATTATCAGCCTATTTGTAATTTATACGAGGAGCTCATGCAAGAGAGGAAGAATGCGCTACGTTTTCGACCATAAAAAAAATATACGAGAGGAAGAATACGTTGAAATTGACTAAGAGTGTGTTTGAATATAATGATTTGAATTTTGTACTTGTGATTTGAATTTCCAAATATCAAATCATGTGTTTGGATATTAATTACATTTGATATTTGGATTTGTGTCAAATTCATGTCTACTGTATTACTTGTCAACTTCAAATACATGTCAACCACTAGTGATGAGATACCTCCTAACAAAAGAGTGGACCTACTTGTAAAATATTAAAAGTTTAGGTACTATAGTGTGAGGCAAAATATATAAAGGTACCAAAACATAATTTTACCATCAAAATTTCAAGAATTTTTGTAAATTTTTAAAATTTGAGGTACAAAATTGTAAGAAAAAATAAATTTGGGTACCGAACTATAATTTACCAAAATTTGTAGGAAGTGACCAGAAAATTCAAAATTAAAATAACAAAACACAAAATTTAAAATATAAACAAATCTATCGAAACAACAAATTTGAATTACATGCATATCAAATGCTAGTACGGGCCACCCTTAACCTCTTTCTTCTGGAACCTGGGCCTGGCCCATATTATAGTTGGGTCAGCATCTTTTTTCACAGACCCGGGTCGGCGGGTACCCGGCCTGCATTCTTCTGCGCCGTCTGCAGACTGCAATACAGAGATATTTCTCGCCGATTCAAATAATGGCACTAACTAAACTATCCATCCACACCAAAAAAAAGTTGTTCTCTCTGTCCGCTTCTTCCCCCTTCTCCGTTTCTGAATTCAATTCTCCCTCCTCCTCCTCCTTCCTTCGCCAATGGCAGCCTCCTTCACCGTGTCGCCGCTCTCTGCTCTTAGTCTCACCGCTTCATTCTCTTCACCGTCGTCGACGCTACTATATATGAGTCCTCTGAAGCTTCCTCGCCGCAGCTCAACCCGGCGGATGGCGGCGCATTGCTCTTCGGAGACGGGTCCGTCTTCCGCGAGGTATTTAAACTCTGCTCCTGCTGTGAGGGGTTTTGATTTTTTTTGCCTTGTAGGTGTTCGTGAAAATGCCTGAACGGGAGAATTGGGTTTCGGTTGGGTAGATTTCCCGGATTCGATTTAATATTTTTTTTCTTGTTGGTGTGCTTCGATTTTTTAGCAGGCAACCTCATATGTCACCGACGCTTCCATCGCCCATGAATGAAAATGGCACGTCCAGACCTTGCAAGTGGCGGAGGGTGTTGCTTAAAGTGAGCGGGGAAGCACTTGCAGGAGATAATGAGCAGAACATCGACCCCAAGGTTGGTCATTTATCCACGATGGCTTCTGATTGATTGTGTTTGTAGCGTAGTTTTGCTTATGGTTGCTGATTTATCATCATGGCTTCACGTAGGTTACGATGGCCATTGCAAGGGAGGTTGCAGCTGTAACACGCCTTGGCATTGAGGTTAGATTCAGACTCATTTTCTTCGGGTGCAATTCATACTGGCTTCAATGACTTGTGTATGTATGAGTGTGGAGTCAATTACGTGAAGACCGGAAATAGCTAATTATAGTATTCACCGATAAACAAATCGAAAATATGGTTAGAATGAACCGTGAGTCTTAATAGTGCTGAACATTATACCTTCTAACCAGGGGGTTTCTTCTTTTCATTGGGCTATGTATACTCTTAACTCTGGAAATCATCTGTAAGCTTTGCAGGTTGCCATTGTCGTTGGTGGGGGGAATATTTTTCGTGGATCTACTTGGGCTGGATGCAGTGGCCTTGATCGTTCTTCTGCGGATTATATTGGGTATGTGTTTTGCTAATACCCTTTTGGTATCTACTACATACACCTCCAGATCCTTTTCTGTTGATAGACAACAATGGATTACATAGACTTAGTTTTCTACTATAAGATATGTTTATCTCATATAGAAGGTGAACAATGATGCTGGGCTGAAGTCCTATAGGCACTTAAGATGTATATTACACTTGCTGAAAGCCGACTTCTTTTAATCGAATGGAGTATTCATTGGATAAACAAAACATGATCTCTTGTGAAATTCCATGGCTTTTGAATATTGTTGTTTAATGGTCTTGTAACATTATTTATTTGATAGAATGATGGCAACTGTCATGAATGCTATATTTCTTCAAGCAACTATGGAGAGTATCGGCATCCCAACAAGGGTACAGACTGCATTTCGCATGTCAGAGGTTGCTGAACCATATATACGCCGCAGAGCAGTGCGCCATCTTGAGAAAGGAAGGGTCGTTATTTTTGCAGCTGGAACTGGAAATCCGTTCTTTACAACCGACACTGCCGCTGCATTGCGCTGTGCTGAAAGTAAGCAATGCTATGCTTGTTTAGATTATCTGTTATCATCTGATTTTCATTTTTTAACGCACATAACAAATATACTAACTGATGTTTTCCTTTCCTGTTCTCATTACTATATGAATCCATGGACAATATAATAGCTATATCTGGACATCAGGAAAATTGTGCTGACATTGATGCTGAAATTTCCATCCAGTAAATGCAGAGGTCGTACTGAAAGCTACAAATGTTGACGGAGTATTTGATGATGATCCCAAGCGTAACCCCAACGCCCGCCTTCACGAAACCCTGACTTACCAGGAGGTGATGTCGAAAGATCTATCGGTCATGGACATGACGGCCATCACTTTGTGCCAAGAGAATAACATTCCCGGTATGTTGAACTTCTGTATCACCAAGAAAACTTGTCAACTTCCATTATCTGTCCTAAATTACTGGCACTATTGTTCAAGTTTATCTGTGATCCGTGGACTTAGTGTTTGAGTGAGGACAGAAGATTGTGCTTTTCCTTTCCTAATCTCCGTCTTGATTGCAGTTGTGGTGTTCAATCTTTCGAAACCGGGCAACATCAGCAAGGCAATCAAAGGGGAAAGCGTCGGGACACTGATCGGAACAGGCGAGAATCCGGTGGTGGCAGGGGCAGAAGGATGATGATGTTAGATAATACGCAATCCTGTTTCAGTTATTTTGGCGGCTTTTCCGTTTTCAGGGACAGTTGGAGATTAATTAGTAAGGTGCCCTCTGTAAATACATATAGTTAGTGGTTATTGAAACTCGTTGGTGTGGGGTTTTGGATGAAACCCATTGGTAGAAAATTCAGATATGAGATGAGTGGTGGACTAATGCGTGTAATTTTTAATTTTAATAGTTATTTTTGCGTCGAGGTTGGAATTCTGGGTTTGATGATTGGTGCTTTCAAGTTTCATCTAGTCCAATTGTTAACTCTTGTTCTCGTAATCTTGGGGGCATGGTTTAGTAGAGAGAGTAAGGTGACTTAAAAGATTTTTATTAGATCTGGTGTGGACCAAATTGTTACTCTTAAATGTAGGATGGCAATGGGGCGGGTTTGGGGTGGGTTTGTCTAAACCATCCCCATCTTCAAATATTCAAATCCATACCCGCCCATACCCATGAGGGAGAATGTTTGGCAAACCCATCCCCATACCCGTGGGTTTCGGGTACCCATGGGTAATACCCGTACCCGTACATCCAATATTATTATCCTAAAATTTACAAGAAAAGTTTTAACTACAACTCTAAACGTACCTATTATATCATGAATTCAACAAACACATGATCATTTTCTTAATACGATTCAAAGAATATGATCCTAAAATATTTATTAATACATAATATAGAGTATAATATTTTTCAAATTATTATGTTCTAACTCTGATACATCTACTAAGTAATAATTAACTAACATAATCTTGTTGACAAAGGGGAAAGTGAAAGAGTGAAAGGAGAATTGAGGGAAATGAATTAGGTTTTGATTAAGGTGGTCACTCAATTGCATTTCTACTATTTATTTCCTTGAGTTATCCTCATCACCATTGATAGATTATAATTTGATCCACAAGTTTTTGTATATGTGAAGAAATTCTCTTGGTGGGGCGGATATGGGTATGGGTATGGGGCGGGGGAGGCTAAAACCATACCCGCCCCATACCCATCAAATTTTTTGCGGGTTTTACCCATACCCGCCCCATACCCGGTCAAAGCGGGGATTACCCGCGTTGACTGGGTCGGGGGCGGTCGGGTACCCGCGGCCGTGGGTTTGATTGTCATCCCTACTTAAATGGCATGTGAATGCATGGAATATTCCTAATATATTTTTATTGCGTAATGTATTTTATGCCATCAAATTATCATTTTTGGAATATGAATGATTGTGATTTAGACAACTTACTAATACCATGTACTTTCATTGTGTTTTTGGGATTTCATACACTACCATGTTTATACATTTTTGGAAATCTTCATGATTGTTTTCCTTTATATGCTAGCATGGAATGTGAGTAATCATGGTTTACTCAAATTACCAAACAATGCATTCAAACGTGCTTCTAGAGTTCTATAGAACAACCATATTTGTGCTTTCTAAAATTCAATATATTTTGAATTGAATTTTAAGATGAATAAGTTATCCGAACACAAAATGAATGATGTAAATAAATATTTCGCCTTAAATCGAAATGACTACATGTTCATGGTCCCAAAACTATAATATACACTCGTGAACTTTGAATTTGCAGTTAATAATAATGTTCTACTTAGTCCTAGTTCATGACTTAAAGAGTCTTTAAGTCATGAACAATGTACCCAAATCCATTTAACTTTTGAGGGATGAAAAATTGGAATGAATGCATATGTTTGATATCTTATAAGAATTCTCTCAATGGTTACATTGTATTACCCTAAAACATATACCCCAACCCATCAGGAAGATTCCCCTAAACCCTAACAAAAACCAAATGTTATCCACAAAACCATAACTATAAAAATCAACCCATAAACCACCCTTTGATTTCACTCTAGTCTTTCCCCTACTAAATTACCAAAGTCAAACTACTTCCCTCAAAACAACGGCTCAGGGATGTACATGAACATCTCCTGCAACTGCTGCTGATCCAACTGCAACCCTCCGGATCCCGAATCCCCACCTCCGGCACCGGCAAACTCGACTCCGTCGTACCCAAATCCAAAATCTCGAAACTCGAACCCAAACTCGAACCCGTTCCCTTGGTTGCTTGAACCTGAATTCAGGTTCGGTTCATCACCGCATCTCGCTCCTCCTCCTCCTCCGCCGCTGCGGCTCTCCACCTCCTTGTTCTCCGGCGGCGACCACACCGCGTGATGCTCGCCGGAGCTGCTCGAGTCCGTATGCAGCTGTGGCGGCACCGACGTCGACTCCTCCGGCGTCTCCATCTCCCAGAACTGTTGTTGCTGCTGCAAATCTAGCAAATTGGGCTTCATTTCCTCCACCGCCCACATCATGTCCTCGTCGTCCTCCGGCACAGGCGACGACGGCTGAAGCTTCATCACCGCCGGCGATTTCGTTCCCTCGTCCGGGAAATGCTTCTCCATGGTTCCTTTCTTGTTGTAGAGTCGGCATAGCACCCAATCGTCCAGCTGTCGAATCCAAAAATCACAAATTTAATCATTATTATTACAAAAAAAATTCAATTCAATTCAATCCAATTCGATTCAGATAAGGTTGTATTGAATTGGGAAGAAATAATATCCCGGCATCCGATTGCTTACCCTGAGTCCAGATTTCTTGCCCGCGGAGCGATCCACATTAGCGAGGCGGTATTCGTGCATGATCCAATTCGTCTTGACCCCTCTCGGAGCTTTCCCGGCGTAGAAAACCAGAGCCTTCTTAATCCCCAGAGTCTTCGGCTTCCCGATCGGTTTATCCGCTCCGGTCGCCTTCCAGTACCCAGTTCCCGCCGCCCGGTTCGGCCGAGACCCGTTGGGATACTTCCGATCTCTCGGAGAGAAGAAATACCACTCCTTCTCGCCGTACAGCGCCATCTCTGCCCCAAAAAAAAAAAAAAAAAACAGAGGTCAATCTCAAAATCGGAATCTCGTCGATTTTCTTTCTGGGTCTCAATTTTTTTTTTAGAGGTAATCACTTACCGGGAAGCTCCCATGGGTCAAACTTGTAGAGATCGAGCTCGGCGATGATGGGGACGTTGATTCCCTGTCCGGCGCATTTCTTGCAGAGGTAATGGGTGACGAGCTCGTCGTCGGTGGGGTGGAATCGGAATCCGGCGGGTAAATTGAGCTGCTGTTCCACCGTTGACTTCATTTGACTTCGAATTTCCGGCGGGGGGTTTCCTTTTCTTTTCTCCGGTGAGATTCTTCTGTTGGTTGGGCTGCTCTGAGTTGAGAGATTATAGATGGGATTTTTTTCTGGTGGAATACTGGAATGTGTGGAAATGAGGGATTTATATAAACAGAGTGATGGGAAATGGTGACGGCGATAGGGTTCTTTCACGGAGTCACGTGCGGGTTTGGTTTTATGGTATCGGTTGGGCCGGAATTCGGCCAAGTAGGTCAAACATTAATTGAGTCATTGCCAGTTAAACTTTCCACAACGAAAAATATCGAATTTCGTCATATTCGTTACTACGAACGTAGTATTACGTACAATACAATCATGTAAACTATCGAAATATTAGAGGTTAAGTTACTACTCGAAGTTATAGTTCAATACGATTTTGTTTGTGTATTAATATTGGACTTTGTATTTCGATGCGATATTTATATAGAGTGAGTTCGATAATCAGATATTTAAAATTGTCTGGACGACTTTTAGTGATTCAGATTTTCCTTTAGTGTGTCATTGCAAAATCTTAATAAATTTAAGAATTTAAGGTATTTGGTTAATTATAATTTGACAAAATTAATTTCTGTTGATTGAGTTGTCATTTTTTTTTTTTTTTGTTGACTTCCTTTGGTAGTTACTTCCTGCTGTATTGCTGGCTGCGGCAGCTCATAGCGCATTAAGCGCTTTTTCGCGGCGGGGATGACTCAGTGGAAACCATGGTGGCTCCAGGTGCCAACACGTGGACCAATGAGGCCGGGGGAAATTAAATTGGGAGCGGATGTAGGGCCATTTTTTTCGTCAGCGCTTGCGTCACTTACGATTGGGCCTGGGGACCGTGAGTTGCAAGTCGGCCCAAACCCAGTAAGTTGGCTCTTGATAATCGTTGACTGATTTTTCGGTTGGTCGTAGTCAAAAGCGCGCTGGTCTGGTCGACTGCCAATCAGGTGTGTCCACGTAGGCCTCGCCTTCTCTCTCTCTCTCTATATCTCGTGTCTTTATCGGGTTCATTCAGTGTATTCAGTCCTGTGTTTGTTTCTTTTTCCAAGCATTTTTTTAATTCCACTGTGGTGAGTTGGAATTTCATTTGATTATCTTTTTCAAAGTGTCGGATTTGTGGATATGGAATTATGACGTCATTTTTGTATATGACATCAGCAGCTGGTGTTCGTTTTTTTTCTTTTTCTTTCCATATGCATGTTTTAGTTGCAGCTGGGAATGCTGGAATGGACATGGAGCAGATAAGTAGTTTTCTTGGTCGACGGGATATGCCGTAGTTGTTGCCAAATGTACGCGTTATGTTTTATAGGACGATGTTGATCCTCGAGTACGATTGCTTGACGGTACAAATGAATTGTCGAGGTTGTATTTCATAATTGAAATGTGGTTCAAATTAACTTTTTAAGTATAATAATAAAGTGACTTTTCGTACACAATGAATTGTTAATTGTGAAGGTTGTATTTCATTTTCAATCCTTGCTTTACCTAATTCATCGAGTCTTTCTCATATCATTATTTACAACCTATAGTATATGATAAACAACAATATTGCGGAGGTGGATGCCCCCCTAATATTCGAATGCTCGATGCTGAAGGGCCTCCCAACACACCCTCTTGATCTCTCCTCGTGATATGGTAAATGAGTGGTATAAAATTCATGATTAACTCTCGTTCAACAATTTGTGGTATTGAAACAAAAGGTTTTTGACATGATATCATAGTTGGTTTGATTATGTGGTACTGGTGTGTTCAAATATCTATGATGCCTAATATTATAGGTTGATTTAAAGTTTTAAACACAATGTATGGTGAACTTTGCAAACTTCAAACCCGAAGTTGGTTGGGACGGAGTGATTTTTGACATGGTAATAGAATTGGTTTTGCCAAGTGATTGTGTGTTCGAATCTTCACAACCACTAACAGTAACCGTTGATTTAAACATAAAGTATGATGAACATTTACAAACTTCAAGCTCATGAGTTGGCTATCAGTTATCTCCACGGTTATTGTAGGGGTATGGGTTGAATTTTTGTCATATGTTATTCTTTTAGTATGCAATAATTAGCTAGGTCAAAACATTGACATGATGTTGGTAATGATGAATATAGGAATAGATCTAACACGAATCGGTGTTGTTAAACAACGAGATTAATAATTAACGACTCACCAATTAGAGTTGGCCGGGGCGAAGCCAACTCACTGGTCGAGGGACCATGCCCCCTAGGTTATAGCAATTAAAAGTCCGAATCAACCGTGTGTTTATAATTTATTAGTACATTGTGGTAAGACAATTTCGTAAGTAAAGATAGACGACGTCTCTATACCTCTCGAGTTATCCTACATCCTTTTAAGTTTAGTCTCAAACAGTAACGAACTCGATCTGGGTCTAACCAGCTTTTCCCCTCATATTCTATACATTGTGAAGATCAATAAGAAGCTAAGATTATGTATGTGGAGGTGCATATTGTGCCTTGCTAGCTAAGGCATGGGTAGTGTGAACACAATACATCCGAATCTCTTCTTCTATAGTTTTTAGTTGAGCTACACCTTAATTACAATTATAGTTAATTAACAACTCAAGGAAACTTGGCTAGTATTCGTCCAAATCATTGCTTATAGTAATATCTACGTGCGACTAACCGCATAGTCAAACAACCAACTGTTGAACCAGTTTTGTGGCTATTAGTTTTATCCAAAACCCTAGCTAGGAATATGTTATTATTATTATTATAGGGTCCAATATGATTCCACTTGCACCACTTCCGATCTTTCATGAATCGTCAAAATTTATTTAGTAATACCAGTGTTGTCACGCCGGCCGGCGTGCCACTGGTTGAACCTGGTTCAACCTGTACCGGTCATAAAACCGGTATGACACCACCGGTATGACCGGCATGATCGATATACGAATCTCCAAGTAAAATGATTTTATCTTCGTGAATTTAATTGATAAAAAGTAATTTATTATTTATTTTATGTGTTAAAAAGTTAAATGTTGATGTTATTTGTTGGATTCAAGTACAAATATTTAGGTATTGACGTTAAATGTCATGTTTAAATATGAGTATTTGTAAATTATTTGTAATATTAACCGGCATGAACCGGCACAAACCGGTATGTACCACCGGTCGAACCATTTCACTTGCTAAACCGGCACACTGGCACAAACCGGTTTGACAACCTTGAGTAATACAAATAAATAAGATTTTAGAAAGGGAATTCGACGTCAGCACTTACACAAACATTCAAGATTACCCCAATAAATAAATATTATCCAAAACATTAATTCAAATAAATAATAATGAAATCAGTAGTGAAGGGAAAGTGTCGGGAAGCTTCATATTCATTCATCATCTTTCATATATAATACAACCTTACCCAGCTGCTGCCATGGCTAGTTGGATGGATGTGGGTGAAGGAAGGAAAGGTGTGGCGCCAGGTCCAAATCAACACATAAAATCATCTTTTGGTAGCCGCCACATAAATTTCGAAGATTCCTTTTCCAAAGTGAAAAAAGCAATGAAAAGATCACTTGATGGTGGATGAATTAGCCCCAACTTTAAAAAAAAAAAAATTTGATAAAAACGACTTGGGTCACAAGTTACATATGTATACGTATTTACGTATGTGTGTCGACAAAGTAGATAGATAGATAGATAGTTGGGACATGGGTGTAGCTAGCAACAAAGAGATTATATTTAGACCACAGACGTGAAGTTAGAGAGCGTGGTATATCTATGACAATTTGTTTTTATGAATATATATGAGTGGTTTTCATGTTATTAAGTGATTTTGTAAAAAAAAAAAAAATCGTACATCTTGTGCGGAGAAAGAAATTTGTCGAGAGTATAATTAGTTTGTTAGCTGTTCTATTGTTATATTACATGAGTGTTTTGATTAAGTGATAATTAAAAAGTGGTAAAATGTTGAGAGATCGATGACATAATTTCACATGTAAGATGATACGTATATTGTATATTTTACACGACAATTGATATCAATATATAAATACCCATGATAGGTTGGATTTGCGGTTTGAAATTACCTCTAAAGTATAAACTTTGTATATATAATATAATTAATTCCAGGCACACAAGATGTATATATTAAGCAAGTGGGTGGGAGCTTATACTATTCGTGTGGTGTATTTTGGTAGGGTAGGATGCATCAAGATTCAAGGCAAACCATATGGAATTTCCTTGGAGGTCAAGTTTTCCAAATAGGCGGACTGACTGTTGTCACATCAGTACAGAGTACTCTTGAAGAATATTCCCTATGAGAACTTTACTAGGGCTTTGTCAAAAAAAAAAAGAACTTTACTAGGGCGGGCTATTTGGTCCCGGTTTTTTGGTTTTATCCGAAACTGGACCGTATAAACCTGACCGAGATCGGACCAAGACCGGATAATAAACAATCCAATCTAATCTTTGGACTTAGATTTGAGGTAAAAAATCGTTCGGGATCGGATCGAAAACTGGATAAAGACTGGATAAGAGAGCTCAACACCCAAAACTTAAGGATAATTTGCACAAACGGTCACAAACCTTTGCACTTAGAACAAAACTTAACCAACTCCTCACCCTTTTAGGCCTTAGGCCACTCAAATTCTCACAAGCTCAATATAAAATCAAGACCGAATTGAGACCGGACCGGATCAAGACCGGACTGTATCCAATCCAATCTTTGGTCCTTATATTTTCAAAAAGACCGGACTGGACCGGATCAATTTGAGTCAATTTAACCGGACCGGACCGTATAGCCACCCCTAAACTTTACCTAGGTTGGATAATAGGTGGGTTGGTTGAGTTTCGGTATTAAACTAACTCAACTGCTAATGAGTTTGTAGAATTGCGATCGCAATTTACTCACACACTTCTTCGGATTGTGGTTGGCTTGTGAGTTTGTCCGCAAATGCAATTCTCTGACTTGTAATTATGTAAGTTGACTTCCATTTATAATAAATCTCTTGTAAACTAGTAAGACTGCATCAATTTAGACACCTCCCAATTTGTCTCTTGTGGAGTTGTCTAGTACTTGTATAAAATCTTTCATTACTTCATCAAAAAAATTATGTAAACAAAGTTCACGCTTTTTTTTCCCCCTCTTGCGACTTAGATGAATTAATAGTTTATAATTTACATCTCAATATCTAATAGACATTACACAACATAGTGACCAATAGTAGTAGCCCAAAAAGCATCCTTTGTTTTCTGCCATTATAAGTTGATGGTCAGTGTCAATTACGATGACTATTTTGTAGTTTCCATGTAAAGATGGGGTGGAGTTCGGTGACCCGCAAGTCCGCAACCCACTCATCTAGGTCATCTCTCATCCCCTACCTGATAAGTGCAGACCCGCCCCTGACCCTGTCTAACCCGCCACTGAAGGGTCAAGATGTATAACTGACCCGCCTCACCCCTATTTCTTTCATGACCCTGTCTGACCCTTTAGGGTCGGGGCGGGTCAGGAAGGGTCTGATCAGTGGTTCGACCCTAATAAATACACTATTTTTCTAAAAATTACATTTTGGTACCCAAATTTGATGGTAAAATTATGTTTTGATACCCAATTTGTTTTTACAATTTAGTAACTAAATTTTTAGAACTTTACAAATAGGTCCAACGTGTTTGTATGATGTTAAGGGTCATAGGGTTAAAAAGTGACTCGACACTAAATTGACCCGACCCAAAGCTGACCCTGTAGACAAACTGACCCAGCCCGACCCTCAGGGTTGGGGCAGATCGGGGCGGGTCAGAGGGTTTTAAGGGTTTAACTTACCACCTATAGTGCAGATAAGAGATTTATTGATCTACGATCCACCCACACCAATCACCCATGCACTACGATTTTGGATTATTTATGAATGGATCGATATCGAACCGTAAACTACCCATCCTGCTTAATTAATTATTATATCTGTTTTCAGAACCGGACTGGAGGCTGAACCGGAAAAGTTAGTGGTTTAGGTTTCAACGGTTAACCGCTACAAAATCGTTGGTGAACTGTCAATAGAACCGTTCATGATATATAACATATAAGACTTGTATATTACACTAATTTAAGAATGAAATTATCATTGACCATAAACAAGTTCAAATTCATATCATCACAAAAATATCTAATAAATCATTCCAACCATCTCACAAAAGAAACCACATTTTTTAATTCAAATTAAAAATTACGGTTCTAGTCGGTAGTAGACAACGTAAAGTCGACAATAAGGTTGAGGAAACATAAATAAAATTAATAATTGTGATTAGATGGTCTGAATTTATGTTAAAGCATTTTTTTATTAAAATAGTGAGCCAATGGACCAGTTAAACTGTTCCGGTTCATCTGATTTTATGTTGAACCGTGAAAAATCGTTTGGTCCATCAATAACCGGTCTAGCAATGAACCAGGCCGCTATCGTAACTGGTTTGACGGTTCTACTGGCCCGACCGTTGATACGGTTCGGTTCTTATAACAATGATTATTATCCCTTGTTGGAGGTCAAGATCGGCTCATAGTATTGAATCCTAGTACAATTACCCCATATATATTGTTATTTCCCCTCCCTCTACGGTTTCAACCTAGCGACGGATCTAGGATATGGCCCGTTTGCAAAAAGAAAAAATATTTTTTCCGAAATAGACCCATTTGTATATAACCCAAATGTGTTTACCCAAATTAGATCAATTCAAACACAATCCATCTGAATCATAACAATTGGATCCAATTATCCAACAAGTCGACCCTTTGTCATTCCTAAACTCGAATCATAACCAAAAGTCTTAACATTATTGTATGGTCTAGCTAGCTAGCTCAAACAACCACACCCATGGGCTGACCAACTACTTTAGTGGCAACTATGAGACAGAAATCGTGCATATTGCTGGACGTCAAGATCAGCTCATCAATATTGAATCCTAGTATAATTACCCCCAGGGTGACAAAAAAGGATGCTCGAAAGTGACAGATTATTATCATAATTATAAAGTTGGATATATAATTAAGATTTAAACATTAATTATGTGCATGTCCAAAGACAATGAATATTTGTCGGCCCTATGTACCTTGTTCAACAAAATGGGAGACAATGAGTGGCCCAATCCAAATCTTATAAATATTAAATAAGTGTATAATTGACGTAGGTAATGATAAAAAAGGGTTACTTTCACTTCAATAAATAACTAATGGGATTGGGCTTTTGCTTTGGGGCGAAATATGGAATGGATGAATGTATTTAGCTAGAGAAGGAAGCTTCCTGGAACCATCCAAACACTTGTGAAAACGTCACTAGTTCATTTACTAATTATGTTTTACGACCTAATTGGTGTCAAATGTTTATCCTTGGGTCACAAATGAGACTCGTTTCTCTACTTGATAAACCAAAGTTTTGAGGCCGGAGATCACATCGATGAAACTAACGGTAGTTTAAATTTTTACGAAAAATTAGAGGTTCACGAATTGTTGTGAACCGATCATAACTCTGCGATAAAATTTGTATCGTTATGGTCACTGCAAGAATGCAATTCAAGTGAATGCTATATATATATGCAGTCATTGTATAAGACGCACTACCTTAAAGCACCGAGATGAAACAATTAGTGATTAATGTGTTGATTTTGATCTTATGTGATTCATACATAGATTCTCCCCTTAACTGGCTGAGAGTATATAGAAAGTTGTTGTATATGGATATTGGAGACTACTTGTGTCATGACTTGATTTTTCTACGATATTATACGATATTTTTGATCTCGGTCTTCCGTCACAATACTTGGAGCTATTGGTTTGTGATTGTTTCGTGGTTTATGAGGACCAATGGTTATTCCTTCATTCGGTTTGATATGTGACTTTATGATTCTGTACCTGATTTCTTGTTTGGTTTATTACTATGGCAATTGGCAAGCATAATCACTTTGTTGATTATTTGAGGTTTGGGCCTATTTGGGTAAAAGAGTGAACGAGGCCATCATAAGGAGTCCTTTAGTATTAGATTCAGACCATCCATTTAGTATTGGGCTTTAGAGGACTCAAATAAACTCAAGTTGGTAATCCATTGGGCTTTGGAACGACACTTTTACAACAAAGACGATTTTTGTTAATGTAGATTGTAGAACTCGATCGCCTTATTAATACTATGTTTGACAACAAGGGTGCAAATTCAAGAAGTGTGTAAGTTGATGGACAAATTGCAGGGGTGTACATTGGTGGAGTGTGTAAGTGAAGGGGTAAATTGTTGTTTGGATGAAAAAGTAGGGGTGCAAATATAGTGAAAAATAAGAAAATTATATTATTATTATTATTATTATTATAAAAAGATATATTAAATTTATAAAAGATCCTCACAAAATAATAAAATAAAACTATTATATGTAATAATCGTAAATATTAATAAAAATAATTTAATAAAAATAATTATTAAGAAAAAATGCTTTAATAGTAATTTATTGTAATAATCATTGATTGAGCAATCTCAAAGAACGAAACTCAACCCATGGCCAAAACATATAACTACCAACTAGCTCATGTCTCCCACTTGAGCGTTGGTTTGTGACATGGTAATCTTGATTTGACTAAATGAACCTTAGGACCAAGGATCGACCACCATTACATTTAGTCCTATTTGGTCCTCTCCAAATGTCATCGATCCATTTTTCTTCAATATTTACATGACACTTCTTCTATATACTTTTCAACGCAAATTCAGTCAGCCAAATTGACCTGAGTCAAACAAATATTTTCTCATTCTACCTTTTCCACGTCACTTCTTCTCATAATTCGTCAAACACATTCAACAATTGGAGCAATTTGACAAACTTGCGATTCATGGACTAATTTTATATTAATAATAACTATCCTAACAATAATAAATTATAAAAAGTATGATTTATGATTCAATAGTAATTATAGTATTTCTTACTATCTTAATGATAACAATCATCATTTACATGTTTTTATTCAAAATAGAATTATTTGAATATAATAAGACATATTATAATAATTCTAAAATCAATCTTACACACTAACCCCTTCCTCATTCATTTTCTCTCTCTTCTTGCACCCCAAATTGGGGGGTTAAGGGGAATCGTGATTTAACCCCCCATTTGCTCCCCCTAACACTATTGCAAATTAACCAAATTGGGGTAATGCATTGGGAATGACATTTACCCCCAAAATTTGCACCTTCCTCCCTTTGCACCTCTAGCCAAACGTAGTTAAGAGATTGATTTTGAATGTTGCCATTATATTTTTTATTTTCATCCTAATTTAAAAATTACATTGGCTCATTTTTATATGATTGGGACTGAAACATCTTGAGTTATTAATGGAAAAAGATTAGGATGCTCTTTAAGTATTTTAATTTTCGAAAAAATGATGATAGAATTATCAAAGTATAGTGACGAATTCAACAACAAAAAATTAAACACACGATACACAAATCAGCCGTCGTTACTTTTTTCTTGCCCTATTGGAACTCTCCACTATATATAATCGGAGCTTAAAAATGGAATGTTGTGAATGGTGGCAATTACCACGAGTACAGATTTGCCTAGTTCAACCATCGAGCACGATATCACAAACATTGAAAATAACTCTTAATTCCAAGGATAATTTGATTTAGATACACACACATCTTTTCAGAAGGGAATTAAGGGTTGGGAGGGGGAAGGATTAAGAACATTGATTAACAACAATGGCGGATTTAATTCTTCAATCACATGCTCATAAAATAAACTAACTTATATGATCACCATTTCCAGAAAACATTGGAACCACACTTGTACTTGTCTTTCCCTTTGCACTCCAAATCCAAGTCATCAGAAATGAATGGCACTTTCTGCAACAACAACAACAACAACAAAAAATTCAGACAATTTACCCACGGTGAAAAATACTATGACTACCCAATTAGCTGTTAATTTATTAAAAATTGTCTTCATATAATGAGGTAATTAGAACTAATTAAAGATTTTAACCTTCTGCTTGGCAAGGTCTTGGCAGCCAGTGAAGTTCTCAGGGAACTTGCAGGACCCAAACTGCACTGTGAATGCCCTGGCAAAGTTTGCTCCACTTGTTGCCAGCCTCTTCTTGTCGTTCAGCTCCTGAATTTCACCAAAACGACATTATATATGCTTTTTGATAGTTCCTTCCAACTGAAAGTACTGAGATAATGATACAAAATAGAATGTCCATCTTGTAAATCTGAGTTATTAACATGAATTGGTCTAGTGATAATGTGATCGATTTCTTCAATTTGGTCGTGTACCTATTTTCTATAAATCACAGATCATATCTCCAAGAAGAAATGGTACGCTACACCTTGGATTCGAATCTTTGCTAATACGATATGAGGGAAAATACAGTACCTAAACTCGAGTTATTGGAAGAAACTGGACGAAACTCTAATCCAGGTTTTACTGTATTACCTTGTTGGTTTTGCTCTTCTCGAGGTAATCCTCAATGACTCCAGCGTTAGCAGAAGAAGCAGTTGCAAAGAGGGTAGCTGCAAGAATCCCCATTGCAGCTCTCCTTCCATTTCCAGCAGCAGCAGCAGCTTGATTCTCTCCTGCTTGCTGTTGTTGGGCTCTGATCACTGGGAACTTGACTGTGGAGGAAGAAGATTGCTGCTGCTGCAAGTTTCTGGTGGCATTTCCTAGATCAGAAGTGGCTGCGTAGTTGCAGGCAAGAACACTTGAAGAGGAGCTCATCATTGAAGCAGCCATGGATGATAATGGTGGTGGTGGTGGAATTTGGGTGAGAGCCCTTCTTTTCTCTTGTGGGTGGTGTTCTTACTGTTTCTGTTTATGGGAAGAGAATTGGGGAATTTTTGTGGAGTGTGGAAGCCAGGAGACTTGGTGATTGCTGATGTGGAAGGGGATTGGATAAGGTTGGGGCAGATTGAGCTCTTCTCCTATTGGTCGTGTGATTCTCTGCTGTTGTTGTTGGTTCTCTTATTAGGATCAGACTTGTGGCTGGCAATGGCTTGGTGCTGTTTTTGGATTTAATGGTGACCCACAAAAGTTTGTGCTGACTGATCTAGTTTCTGTTTGATGATAATCTGGCTGATTGAGCTCTTTCACTTGATAGTAAGGATTTGCTTTTGGTGGAAATAGGAGCACTTCTACTATGCTATATAGTATTGGTGCTTTAACGTACAACTCAAAGTTGTATCATAACATTAAATGTATAAGTTTAGGTTGTACCATAAAGCAATTTGTACCATTATGTTATGGTACAACTTTACAACTTGAAGTTGTACCATCACATAAAGGTACAAGTTCAAGTTATACCATAAAAGAATTTGTACAAAAAGTATATATACAATCTGAAGTTGTACCATAACATAAATGTACAAGTTTAAGTTATACCATGAAGGCAAAAATCTATAGCACAAATACTACATAGCATTGTAAAAATTTATAGCACCAATACTATATAGCATTGTAAAATTTCTCGTGTTTATGCTCCATTTACGGTGATGGCCAACTATAATTCGTAGATATCATCAAAGGGTGACTCAAATGAAAAGACGCGATGGTTGAAACAATTTGCTCCCGATTACTACAGAGATTAAGAATAAATTAAGAGAATCAAACTACTATGTTAGTGAAGTGGGAATCTGTTTTTCTTTCTTTTTGTACAATAAGGAATATCCCATTATACCTTTACACAGACAAAAAATTATGAATTAGTACTAATAAAGGAACATTAAAAGAAAACAATGCTAATATTCATGAAGATTGGGTTTCAAGAATCAAAATTGCTTGGCCAGCCAGCTATGCCTATCCAGCCTGAGTATCAGATCTCATCACTTGGATCTGCAGATGCATTCTGGATATGGATTCTGATAAAACGACTCTTCCGTCTTGAAACGTGCTCTCCCTTTGATCCCTGAAGCTGCTCCCTTCCTTTTCCTTGGACCTCCTTGCCTGTTGAAAGAACACACCATGCGGAACTATTATGATTCAAAAGGTTTTTTTTTTTTATAACAAACCAAACGGAATCCAGGGAAGGGAATTGTCTTTCGTCGTTCATAAGCCACACCTGTTCCTGTGCATCTGTTGGACCAGTTCAGGTAAGGAATCTTCGTTCACCTCTCCGTTCTCGAGCTTATCAAATAGCTCCACCAATCCTTTCCTGTCGGGGTTGATGGTCTTGCGATGGCCTAAGAATCTACGGTGGCCTTCGACAACTCTTGCCATGTTGCCCGAGTGTGAAGGAACGAAGACGTCGCTCTCTACTGATATGATATAGTCCAGTGCTGCAGTTTGAGTTGCATGAGCAGCAAATGGTCTCAGTTCTTCCTCTGTTGCCAATGCTTCCTGATGGTGTTTGACGACCAATTCGTAGTAGAATAGATGAGAATTGAGCAAGTAATGAATCCATAATCAATTGCAAAGGAGTAGAGAAGATGAATAGCAATTCGATGCATGTAGCAAAAGTATCAACCAACCTTGGAAACAATGTTGGGGAAGCGAGACCTGAGCTCTTGGAGATGGGACTCGCCGCCATAGATTTCTCCTGCCGCGATATAGATTACAGTTGATGAAGGATAACCAAGAGCCTCAAGAAATATGCCCACCTCCCCTGGGGTAAGAGGACATAATCCTTCCATCCTTTGTTCCGAGGAGTTTATCTTTTTCACTTTCCAGTGGTTGGTATTCTCCCTGGGTTTATCACGAACAAAAGATTAAAGCTACTCCATATTTAAAAAAACTAAGTTACCAATACAAATCCAAAGCAAATTTCCCTCTTGTGTTCTAAAATAGGCAACAAGAAAGCCCCACCTCATTATCCGCAGCTCTTCTGACTCGATTTTGGTAAGTCCATAGGTGCACCCTGTGAAAGAAAGCATGTCCTTCTCGTATCTCAGATGAAGAGCAATGTATTTTTCACCACGTGATCTCAGGCGCTCCACTAGCTTCTGTGGTGTCATCGGCACATATTCTCAGAACCTAATATGACAGCAGTTCCCCCCACGGGAATACTCTCAATATATCAATACTGTAAAGAATGTAGACCCTGGATCACATGCTTTGTCTAGTAAAGGTGAATTAATATGGGGATTTGAACCGTGCACCATTTTGAAGTAATCACAGACGTGGAGCAGAATATGTTCCAGGTTTCGACTTCAGCAAAGTTTTTTAGACTTTAACACTAGATGAAGAAAGATACATGCGAGGGCACGGGTTTCAAACCTTTCCAAAGCTTTCAATTGGAGGCGAGAATCGCAGAGCCTCATACAGGGCACGGCATCTCAACCTCTGAACATCAAGAGGCAAATCATTGTTTGCTAGACGAGAATCTGATTTTGGCGCATGAACCACCTGCATTAAGTTCTACTTGATAAGCCACCATAACTAATGAACTATACATTGTTATTGGAAGAGAGACAAAAGTTTGAAATACGTCTTTTAATATGATAAAAAGAAGAAAAATAAATCAACTGGAAAAGGCATTTGGATTCTCGATGTGATTGAATCTTCTCCTCTTACCTGAAAGTCATTCCATATATGAGCCATTTCTTCATAATATCCCAAGCTTGACCATGAAGTGAAGTGTTTTCTAGCATGAGGAATGGCCTGCAAGTCTTTCGGGAGCTCTTTAACGATCTTCACGTCATCTTTTAAGCTTGTAATGAAATGAAGTTCATCGAATATGTCCGGAAAAGTACTGCATAAACAGATAGATTTCAGTAACCATAACAAGAAGTCCAAAACCAGCAAATATACAAGTTCCCATCTCAGCAAGAGAAATCCAGAAACACCTTGAGTCTTGCCAAAATGATCGCTTGTCCAGCTGAGGAATAACTAGGGTCGCATTCATGATTCGTGCAACAGCCACCATATCCGCAATCTGCAATGTCCAGCATGAAATTTAGCTTTTTAATTATCTGACTAACCGCAGGGTCGAAAATATCAAACTTCTAAACTCGAGCTTAGCGTGGTAAGAACCATTTCCCGCTCCACCATTTACCATAAAACGCATGAGAGGAATAATCCTAATAAAACAGGAAATAACAGTCCCAAGCTATCCAGAATCTACTTTCTTAACACATTCCTTCAACGCCACATTCTAGCTCTATATGTTCATGGCTTCAAATACAACAAAATGACGAAAACTCGATCTACTTACACCAGTGCGCATTTGATTCAATCCGCCATTGCTCCTAACGGTTAAGTAACGATCCAATACTTCGGCCGCAGCTGATTTATCCATAGAAATATAAAGAAACGCAGTGTTACTGTGAATTCAGCAAGCAGCACGAAAAGAGAGCATTTTGAAAGAAACACCAATAATCAAAGTTCAACTTCCTACTTCATATCGAGTAGCATAAATAAGCATTGGCAGAATTAGATAGCTAAAAGATCTCCAGTCTCACGAAAAAAACCTTTGTATTTAGAAGTGGGATTCAGGCAAGCGCGCAATCCGCGGCTCGCCGGAGGATCCCAGAGCCGGTCCACCGCCGCCGAATCAGAACCCTTCAGAACAATCAAAATCACAGAAATGGAGTGAATTTGAATCCCACGTACCCAAATCAAAGAAACCCAAATTTCGGACTGTCACTTGCCTGGTCAGTGGTAGGCAGAAACTCCTCCTCGATAATGGCCGACCCTCGCCTGAAGAAAGGAACTGGATCGGCGTCGTCGTCCAAGATGCGGCCGGTGTTGAACACGAACATGATGATGGAGAAGGCGAAGAGGAAGATAGCGTACAACGCGACGGAGAGGGGAGTTAACCTTCTGGAGCGGAAGAGCCATGGCGAAGAAGCAGAGCTTCTCCCATGGTGATTCGGCTTGCCGCTTAACATCGCTAGCCCTCTCTCACTTTCCACTGTAAGGGGCGATTCTGAAACAGAGTGTACGCATTTTATTGCTTGAAAGAAAGGGAAAAGGAAAAATAATTGGAAAATAAAATAAACGAAGAAATGGTTACTTATTATAACGTCACTGAACTTGAAGTCACTAACATATTGGTCACTAATTAGTTGTTTCTGGCACTAAGGGGTGGTTTGGAAGAACAATGATGAAACAAAAAGTAGGGTAGACAATCTCTCATTAACAATCTCACCTTTTAGTAGAGATTTATAATCATTCATTTTGAGTGATTGTAGGTGGGCCAACAAAAAGGTAATGCATGCATTCTAACTCAAAGTAAACCAAAAAAACGACTTAATCTTATCATTACATGTATTTGCTAAATACCTCACTTCAAATCTCAACCTCCAAACGACCCCTAATTGGTTTTGCCACAGTAGTTCCCACTTCCCACCTGCGTTGATTCCCTCCGGAACGAAGTTTAATGACCGTTTTGTAATTGACCTTGTTTAATAATTTCCGTTTTTTTAAGTAAATAAATATGGGGTGAAAAAGGAAAATAAAAGCCCAATCTTTCCGCCTCTTAGTCAGTCAGCTCAGCTCAACGGGATCATCATCCGTCGTCGACGGCGATCGGAACCAAAGAGAAAGCCATGATCTTCGTCGATGGCAACCCGTTTCCCGCCACTTCTTCGCGTCAGGTTTCCCATTTCTTCCCTGCTCTTTCTCCATCATTCTCCTTTTTCCCAATCCTTCATACGGAGCTGGCTATTAGTGCTCCCCTCCATCCAAATCGACAATAAGTTAGTTTTTAACTTCCGTGTTTTCTGAACACAGGGGAAGGAAGTTATGTTCGGATTGATGGAGCATCCGGCGGTGGTCGCAGCCTCCGATGCATTCAAGTCTTTTCCGGAGAGGAAATTCTCGGTTTTGGAGGATCCTGGATTGCAGGATCGTAGATGGGTTTATCTCTTCCAGAGAGAATACGCCACTGTTGACCCTTCACTTGTGGATGTAAACGCTCTTCCATTCCCTATGGATGATGCTTTTTTGGTTCTCTAATGGTGAATGTTGAGTGCTGAATGCTCTGTTGTTTCTCTTCATATGAGTTTGTAGTCCATCAGTAGCTTTTTCATTCTCTTAATTTGGATACATTGATTGCATATGAGCATGCTGATTTAAGCAAGGAAGCTTGTGCTTATGATGGATATTCGTATCATCGAATTGATGTCCTAGGTCCTGGTTTCTCCATTAGCTAATGAGCTTGTATTCGTGAAAGATTACTATAGAGAATGAGGTCATTGATGGGTACAGGGATTCATTGTATCTTCGATTCTGGTTTATAATGATCTGGTCTTCTTCTTTTTCCATGCAAAGTTCATTGGCACTGATGAAGCAACAACTTGTGTAGGTGTTGTCATCCGAAACCAGAAAAATGGAATGTAAGAACTAGTTGTGCTTTCTGATGTTGAAGAATATGGCTATAAAAATTTGATCAAATGTCTTGAGTTTGTAACTGGGGTTTCTGGTTCCTGCAGGATATCAGTTACGCATATGGATTCCCCAAAAGTTGTCTCGATTGGCCTTAAACAAATGTTGTTACAACTTGCTGCCCACGATTCTGATGCTGAGTATGATGTACTGTCCTCTCCTTTTGATAGCACTATTTTTTTCTTCCTCTTTGAGCTAGTCCAAATTCCATATGTTGATACACTTTTTTCCTGCGTTCTTTTTTGGCAGGTCCACATAGTTGGTGCATTTGATGATGTTACGCCCAATGTCTGGTTGAAAGACTCTTCTTTTCTGATTGATTGTATAGAGTTGATTGCATCAGCTGAATGCTTAACATCATCTTAATCTCTATGTGCAGTATGCTAGCAGCCCCTCTACAACTAAGCAATCATCAAAATTGGATGGTTATTCTCTCCCTTTGTGTACCAAAGTAGTTGAAGCACTAGGAAAGAGGCAGGAGAGGTTTCACATGAGAACTCTCTTCATTCTTGGTCATAATACAAAGTGGGATGCACAAAACATTGCATATCCAATTTTTAACGGACTGCTGGTTAGTATTTGCTATTTGTCAAGTTTATTTATTCATGTTGTGTGGGTTTGATCATTGAAGGAAGCAATAGATGGAAAATTGGAAGCATTGATCTGTCCTGTGTATCTCCTATCTATGTTTCTTCATTGGTTTATGTCGACATGTTGGTCAGCATTTTCATGCTGTGAAATGTTGCCCAATAACGATTTCCACCTGGCTGCAGGTTGAAACATCCACAGGGTCTGTTTTTCCAGCCTGCTTTGATAGAACTACAAGATGCCCAGATGAAGTTGTGAGAAGAATTCGAGTGTCAGCATCATACGAGGATCCGACTTGGAAGGGAAAATTATTGGACACATATGATACTCGAACTGATCAGTTTGTGATTGCTCCGTGTTCTTGGTATGCCTGACTTTCTATCTTATACACCCTCTTTGTTGAATATTGACCGAAATTGGTAACATTCTGTTCGTGATAAATGCAGGAGCTTTTACCAACTCAATGTTGCCTTTGCTCTACAAAATCTGTCCGATGAAGAGATCCTTCTTCAGTGCTCCACCTCACCTTCTGCTGAAGGCCCAGATTTTGTGAATAACTTGAAAAGGTGAACGCATTATGGAACCTCTTGTATTCTTTCTTGTCCATCTTTAGGTGTAAAGTAGTTATCTATAAAAGGGATGTTGAGGCGAATCCAATCTGCTGTGCGACTAGTTATAAGAAACCATAGAATACTCCTGCTTAATGTACTTGTGAAACTTGTTTCAAATTCCATGAACTGAGAAATGCGTTAAACACGAGTATTATATTAGGAAGGACACTGACATGAATAGAGAGTGGAGAATAGTGAGAGTAAAATAGGCTAGATGGATATACAAGACTTTAGAGGAGCATGGAATGTTTACAAGATGCTTAACTATACTCCCCTACACAAGATCAAAGCTCGGCATTAGATCTTTTCACAAAGCAGTTGAGCTTTTTGATTCTTCTCAAAAGTCCAAAGCAATCATATCAGCAATGGTGTACTTTGGATCTTCTCTTATCGGCATGTTTGTGTGTGTGTACGTTTTGCAGACAGTGGGAGTATCTATTCAGACACCCAAAATGGCAAGAGACATTTCCCAGACGACAAGCCCGAGTATTCGTCAGGAGTGCCAATGGTAACTGGGATTTGCTGCCCCTGTCAGAGAAGGATGCTTTTGATCATGTTTCTGGTATATGATCACAATATCTTTGATTGAGTTATGAGAATGAGGTTGACTTGCACTAATCGCGCATATTTATTTATTTCTGATGCTATTGAATGTGATGTATTTACATGGTCAGTATGTATTTGGTAGTGATGTTCATAACAATGTAGAGCAAAGATAACTTTCAAATACTTAATACCAAGGTATAAAGTATTTGAAAACTCTGGTCTTTTGTACTGTTTCTGACACAATCCCGTGTGTATCAAGGCAATGAATCAAATAGTAGAATGTATTGCAAAGATAATATTTACTTACAAATTGGGCACCCAAAGATAATAAAAAAAACATTCACAGGGAGTACTTACTAGATGTTTCAGAAGGAAATAATAGGTACAAAGAAAAAAACTGAATTCATACCAAAATGAAAATTTTCCTTTTTGATAAACGGATCAATTGAAAGTTGTTTCCTTTTCTTTTTTTCCTTGCCCTCCACGCAACTAACCAATCAAAGTTCCTGCTACTATGCCTCCTCGTAATAGTTCGTCTCCAGATCCTGAGCGGTCTTCTTGGGCAGGATGCCGCCCCACTCCCCCCAGCTCCGGATGGCGTCTCCGGCGCGATTCCTCACCGCCGACAGCGAGTTGGAGAGTGTCCTCCCGAGGACGCCCTGCTCGCCGCCTCCGCCGGGTTGGGAGACCGGGAGGGCGGCGGATCGGCTCTTCTGGAAGCCTAGGACGAAGGAACTCATTTTTTTTAGAGGTGTTGAAAAAATGAAATGAAAGGGAATGGAATTGAATTAAATTGAATGTTGGAAAGATGTGAAGAAATGGAGTTATGGAGGAGGAGGAGAGGGCGAGGTGGGTTTTGATGGAGAAAGAATGAAAGAAAAAGCAAAGCATACAGCTTTGCGATGCGAATCACATGCTGGTGGTTGGTTTGCTGTGCTGTCCTGTGTCTGGGGTCCAGGTGGCGGTGGCGGGGAATTGTATGCGGCTGGCTTTTCTGTCTTTCTGCTTCGCTGGATTTCACTTACCGCTGATTGATGCACATGGGAAACGACTGCGGAAGTTTATTTGTTTTGAAGCGGCGGGGGAAGGGATCGGAGAACGCGACGACGGCGGTTTAGTGATTGGGGTTTTGGGAGAGTGAGTAAAGTAACTGTTAGTGTTGTGGTATATGATCCACGATTGAACCTCTCCCAACAACTCGAGTTATTGGGATCAACTGGTTCTTGACATGGTATCAGAGCCTTCTGTGACCGAGAGGTCTTGTGTTCGATTCCCGATGACCCCCATTTGTTAAGCACATGGTATTCTTGTCTTCAGACCTGTGCAAACTTCAAGCCCTTGTGAGTGGCTTTCGTTTGAGGGGGCGTGTTAGTGTTGTGGTATATGATCCACGATTGAACCTCTCCCAACAACTCGAGTTATTGGGATCAACTGGTTCTTGACAGTAACGACTTTGCTTCTGAGGAGAAGCTAATAAGCTAGATCTGGGTCGAGAAACCGGCCGAAGATCTACGCTCGGCCGTTCCCACGCCGGCGGTGATTGTCTTTCATATAACTACCATATGGCATTCTAGTGAAACAGTAGGACATATCCAGAAAAATATACGGGGTCCAGTTTTAACTACACATGAAAGCAAATTAACTACTTTTTCATAAGATACATATAGAGAATTAAAGATCAAGCTAGACAATTTTATGGAAGAAAATATATTTAGATACTTGCAAAATGAAACCATTCATTTGCAAAACCACATTTTGATTTTGTGTATCCTATTTATTTTTGGTGTTTTGAGCGGGGAAAATCCAGTAACCATGTCAATATGATTTTTTTGGGTAATGTCTATTTTTTTATTTAAGTCTATCGAAATACTAATAATTAACCACTCTGTTAACATTCCGTCCAGCCATGCTTAGGTGGCTAACGGATTGCCACATCACTCATCCCATGTGATACTCATCACCAATAAAAACTTGACACCTGAAGAAAAAAATTTAATTTCCATTTTAGTTAACATTTCCTATTGCCTCATATTTCTCCTCCTTCAACGAAGATGGTCGTCCCTACTCCCCCTCCCCTAAACAAGCTGCCACCGTAACCGCCAACCCTAACTCACACTTTCCTACCGGTGCCCGCTTCTCCTCCTCCGCCTCGAGATCCCAGTTCTCCCCTTCATCCTTCTCTCACAAAGCCAGAATCGTCGGTTCGGTCCTTTTCCGTCTTCCCCAAATCTATCTCTCTAACAATCTACATGCAAAGCAATGGTGACCAAGGAAGGGGAAGAAGGGCACGGGAGCGTCGATTCTTGAGCTGGCAACAGAGGAGGAAGAGAAAGAGTCGTCGGAGTCTGGAGTCAGGCAGATCTGGAACGCGAAGCGGGGGCGGCGACCAAGATTGCTTCAACTCTTCGAATCTTTCCAGTTCTCGTTGTAAGAAATTGGTATAAGATCCAACATAACCTTCTCTCAACAACTCGAGTTATTGGGACCAACTGGTTATGACATGGTATCAGAGCTGGTTTGGCCAAGTGGTCGCGTGTTCGAATCTCTTTGACCCCCAATATTAACTGTTGGGGGTATTACCCAGCAAGCTAGGAGCTTGGGCTCCCAAAGAAGGAATTAGGGGGCAAGGCCCAAAAGATAAGAACCAATATTCTCTAGTGGCCCTTGGGCCCAAACAAGAGAAGGGACCTTAAGAATAAAACACCAAAAGCCAGGTGGCGGCCAACTGCCTGGTGGACCACTGCCCGCGGGCGCCTGTCATGTGTCAGGAGCCTGGCAGAGCTGTGGGATGCCTGTCATGTGTCAGGAGCCTGACAAGGCGGTTAGCTGTCTCACAGGGGGGGCACAGAGCATTAAATGAGGATGGTGACGTGGCGGAGATCAACCTCGGGTTCGGTGAGTATAAATAGGGGCAGCTGATAGCATTTATGCAGGTTGGACTCTCTCTCATTAAAACACTACTTGAGAACTTTGCTCTCCAACGGAGACTGACTTGGGCGTCGGAGGATTAACGGGCCGAGGCGCCCACCTCTTTGAGTGTGTAGGTCGACGTCCGTCGGAGAGAGACGTCCGGACATAGTAGAGGCCTAGAGGGTTTCGTGGCTCAAACATTAACAGTTGACTAAAGCACAAGGTATGGTGGGCCTGTGCAAACTTCAAGTCCGTGAGTTGACTTTCGTTTGAGGGGCGTCAAGGTTGTCAAACCGGTTTATACCGGTGTGCCGGTTTTGCAAGTGGAATGGTCCGACCGTGGTACAACCGGTATATGCCAGTTTACGCCGGTTTTAGCAAAATAAATAAAGTGAAAATCCAAACCATTAAGGAACGGTAATTATGAATTTATGAGGGATTGGCAAACAAAAAGGTCATTCAGCGGCCCAGTTGCATAGAAATTAAGAAAAAAAAAGTAAAAGTGACAAATTAATAATGGAATTAATCTCATTTGGTTTCGTTTGTTTTACCTTTCTTTAAATTGTTATTGAATTAATGTTTTACCTTTCTTGCAAAATTAATGAATTCAAACTCTAAACATATAAAAAAGGTAGAGAGGATTGTGGGTCCTACAACTAAAGGTGGTCAGAGGAGTGTGGCTGTGTGGGAATTTGGGAAATAGGGAAAAGTCTTCATGGAAACGACGCCACTTCCCATTCCGGAATTATTATTACCGGTTGAACCAGCCGGAATTTCCGGTTTTAACCGGTTTTGACTGGTTTTGACCGGCATTGACTTGCCTATTCTACCGGTGGCATTCCAGCCGGTTTCATGACCGGCACCGGTTGAACCTGGTTCAATCGGCCGGCATACCACCGGCATGACAACCATGAGGGGCGTGTAAGAGATTGTTATAAGATCCAGACATCCAACATAACCTTCTCCCAACAACTCGAGTTATTGGGACCAACTGGTTATGACACTCGTCGATCTCCGAAGCTGAAGAAGGCAGGGACGGCGGAGGCGATCGACGATCTATCTTCACTGGCAGCGACCCTCTTCTCCTTTCATTTGTTCGATGGATCTCGATCGTCGCCGGCGGAAGAGACAACTCCGGTGGGGTGATTAGAGTGAAAGATTGTTTGGTGGTGCATGTCTGGTTGGAGCATCAAGGTCGGGATTGGGGAGATTGAGACAGCGAGGTCGAGATTGGACGGATGGGTGGGGCGGTGAGGTCTGCTTGAGGATTGAGAAGCATCTGGATGGCCGGATGGGGGCAGAGCTTTGGCCGGCAAGGACAGAGGGGCGATGACGACGAGGTTCTCCTCATGCGGTTATTAAAATTGACAGAGGATGCGACGAAGCAAGGGGAAAAGGCAGGTAGCAAAAAACAATTAAGAAATTTGATGAATTTCTTACGTTGACGCTTACGTGGATGCTTATGTAGTGCTCCGTTACGAAATAAGTAACGGTAACAGAATGAAAGCTCAGACATTGATTAGCTACAATAATTGTGGTTAATTAATAGTATTTCTATAGGTTTGCAAAAAATAAAAAAACGTGGAAAAGATTAACTATACGGAATTGAATTCTCCTTTTGTAAATACAAAATAGATTAATTAATTGGAAGGTAGTCCATAATTTTTTTTTTAAATTTGGATGAGGTTTTAGCTCACACAGCATAGCAGTGCTCTAAAGACTAAAACCCTCAAAGCTCGACCGACCAAGCGAAAACCAGAGAATCCATGGAGTTTCCCCTCCGCAATTGAGCAATTCCCTTAGTACCAGAGAAGCAGAATCAGCACTCGTGTTTTCCTTTGCATTCCCTAGCTCGAACACACTGGAAGAAAAACTATGAAATGCCTCGTCCCTCTCATTTCCCTTCACTTCCCGCCAAACGCCGTAGTCTCTCACTCTTCTGCTTCCTCTTCCTCGCCTCATTTGTCCATCATTAAACCGTCGCTAAGGTATCAATTGAACTCCAAAAATGGCCGCGCAGCTCCCGGATTCAGAACCAGAACCAGAACTAGAATTAGTTCAGCTGCCGAATCCACATCCGCTTCTACGTCGGCCAACTCGGTGAAAATGGAAGAACAGGAGGAAGCGATTCAGGTGTTCGAGAGGTTGAGAGAGGCGGAGAAGGATAGGATAAACGAGCTGGAGGAATTGGAGAGGAAATCGAATTTGCAGCTGGAGAGGCAGCTAGTCATGGCTTCCGAATGGAGCAGGGTGCTCCTGACGATGCGAGGGAAGTTGAGAGGGACGGAATGGGATCCGGAAAACTCTCACAAGATCGAGTTCAGCGAGTTCTTGAGGCTTCTTAATTCGAACAATGTTCAGTTCATGGAGTACTCCAACTATGGCCAGACTGTTTCAGGTTCGTGAGGTATTCAACTTCGGATTATGCTTCCGTTTGGTTTTGGTTTTCCTTGTAATGTGGAATTGGGTTGCACGAAATTAGTTGAATTGTCAGTAGTTCTGGTTCTCATGGTTCATTTTGGTAGAATGATGGAGATGGAGATGGAAATGGTGAGGCTGCTGATGGTTGATTTTAAAGGTTTGATGGTAAACCCAGAGAAATGAATTTGTATCGACTTAGTCAGCCAATTCGGTTCGATATGCTTTCACAAGCATTGACGAAACCTACCACTAAATACTTCACCATGAACTTGAATTCGTAAATCTTACACAAAGGTTCAAGGCTTTTGTTTTGCTTCTTAACACCGATCACAGTTTTTTGCCCTGATTGCAACTTCCATGAATTCTGTTTATGAGTTCTTAATGATGAAAATGTTGGTCTTTGAACTTTGAACCCTTTACATGTCTACATTGTTAAAGAGGCAGGGCAATGTATCTTATTGGGTCGTACATGTACTTCTATTCTGGAATTTATAGAGCAAACTTCCTCACTGCCTTTTTGAAGCGCACAGGGATTTATCATTTGCTTGTTATGGTATTAGTATAAATATTTAACATGTAATTCCGCTAGCTTGATTGATAAACTGGATATTTTGCTTCATATGCTGCAGAAATGATTGCATTAGTGTTGCGTGACTTTTATTGCAATTTGTCTCGTGTTTCCACAGTTATTCTTCCATATTACAAATATGATAAAAATGAAGCCGGAAAACGAGACCCGAAGAAGATCGTGTATCGGCGTCATGTTGTAGATCGCATGCCGATTGACTGTTGGAATGATGTTTGGCAGAAGTTGCACCAGCAGATTGTAAATATTGATGTACTTAATGTGAACACAGTGCACGCAGAGGTCTACTCTAGTGTTGCGACTGCTGTAATCTGGTCAATGCGGCTTGCTCTTTCCATTGCAATATATGTTTGGATTGATAATTGGGCTAGACCAATTTATGCAAAGTTAATACCTTGCGACTTGGGAAAACCAACCACAACAACGAGGCAGCCACTCAAACGCCGGGCGCTTGGTTCACTAGGCAAGAGTAGGTAAGGAGATGTTTGGCCTCTTTAACTGTTGTTTAGTTAAATTACTGTAAGCCTTACTGTGTGCTTCTTTTTCCTTTGATTTATTTTCCTTCTTTCAATAGGATGTGTCATATACTTTCTTCCCTTATAGTATACTTTGGCTGTTGATCTCTTGATGTTAAACCAAATGACGAGAACGGTGTCGTAGGTGCTCTCAACTCTGTATGCGGTGGAAAATTTGATTCTTCTTGTCCAAACATAAGAAAGCATTTTTCAGCTCAAGCAACTGATTATAGTTACCAATTCATCTGATATCTTCATTATACAGTTGTCTTAGAATTGGATTTCTCATAGAAAGTTCTTTTAGATAGTTTTGGCTCTATCTTTTGCGGGAAGATAGTTGAGTGCGTCCTCACTGTCATTAATTTTTGCACCAGGGCAAAGTTCATATCAGCAGAAGAAACTACAGGCATTACTTTCGATGATTTTGCTGGTCAGGAATACATTAAGAGAGAACTGCAAGAGATAGTACGGATTCTGAAAAATGACGAAGAGTTTCAAGATAAGGGTATATATTGTCCAAAAGGTGTCCTTCTCTATGGGCCTCCTGGTACTGGTAAAACACTGCTTGCCAAAGCTATTGCTGGTGAAGCAGGCCTACCTTTCTTTGCTGCTAATGGCACTGATTTCGTGGAGGTGAGGCTGCATAGATACACTGGTTAATTATAGATTTATGGTTTACTTCACACTCCAAATCTGAAAATGGCGAAGCTTTATGGGTTTGGCTTGATGAGTGATTGTGGCATTGTGCTGCAGCAATTGCTTTGAGATGTAGATTCTGACTGCAAGGCTGAATCATTTGGTTGTATGATATGGGCTTTCCTGTTTTTGACAATTCTGACCACATGCTTTAAGTTGAGTAGCAAATTTACATGGTTGACCTTTTAGATGTTTGTAGGCGTGGCAGCATCCCGTGTCAAGGATCTTTTTGCTAGTGCCCGATCATTTGCTCCTTCCATAATCTTTATCGATGAGATTGATGCTATTGGCAGCAAGCGTGGTGGTCCTGATATTGGAGGGGTAAGATAACTTAGTCGGTCTTAAGGCGACATTGGTTCTCTTTTTTGCTTTTATGTGAGAAAGTTTGTGGCGATACTATAATCTTTGCTCTTGATTTAGTATAATACTTGGTGAAAACACTAGAAGATCCTTCCTAAATCAATTGTTTTGTATAGGGTGGTGCAGAAAGGGAACAAGGCCTGCTTCAGATACTGACAGAAATGGATGGATTCAAGGAATTTACATCACAGGTAAGCAATTATGCATAGGATTATATTCGCAAGTATATGCACCCACTGCTCACCATCAACTACTGAATTCGGTTTTTTCAGGTGTTAGTTATTGGGGCAACAAACAGGCTTGACATACTTGATCCTGCTCTATTGAGAAAAGGTCGTTTTGATAAGATCATAAGAGTTGGTTTGCCATCAAAAGATGGTAGATTGGCTATACTTAAGGTAATCTTTTCTCATATGATTAGCCAATGCTGTGTTTTTATGTCAGATATATATTGCATTTAATTTTGTTAAAAATTGATTTTTGCAGGTTCACGCAAGAAACAAATTCTTCCAATCAGAGGCTGAAAAGGACACTCTTCTACAGGAGATTGCGGAGCTCGCAGAAGCTTTTACAGGGGCTGAGCTTCAGAATATACTGTAATGAATGGCTGATAGCCAATCTAGAGCTTTTATTTTCTTACATATTATCAACCGTAAGACAACCTCATGCTTCCTTTACTGAATCTCTTATTTTCTTATGTCAGGAATGAAGCTGGGATTTTGACTGCTAGGAAAGATAAAGACTATATCGGACGTGAGGAACTAATTGAGGCTCTGAAAAGGGTTTGTTCCTTCTCCTTGTATAGTAAAATATCGATTGAGAATAATTTTTCAATCATTATCCAATTCCATGTATCTTTTGTGCTTTGCTTAATGCATTGTGCAGCAAATGGGTACATTTGAAACTGGCCAAGAAGACAGTACTGCAGTTCCTGAAGAATTAAGGTTAAGATTAGCTTACCGTGAAGCAGCTGTTGCAGTCCTTGCGTGCTTCTTCCCTAACCCCAGCCGCCCTTTCACGGAGGTTGGTACTTCACTAGATATTCCTTGGTCCAATTTTTTCAATCTTGAAAGTGCCTTATATTGCTATGTTTCTTCACTTGATTGATGTTCTGCAGACACATATAAATTCGATCCGTGACCGGCCAAATATGCAATATGAAGTAACTGCTGGCAGGGTATTCGCCAAAAAGACTGAGTATATTAATGCTTTAGTGCGTGCATGTGCTCGTAAGTTCTTGTTTGCCTTAATTCTGTTTCCACACTTTTCCCTTGCCCAATCCTGGGTACGTACTGAATTTCAGAGCATTGAACTGCTACCATTTGTAGCTAGGGTGATTGAGGAGGAAATGTTTGGTGTAAACAACCTTTGTTGGATCTCTGCAAAGGCTACGTTAGAAGCTTCAAGGCTTGCTGAACGTTTAATTCTCCAGACCGGGATGACAGCATTTGGAAAAGCGTACTACAGAAATCATAGTGATCTTGTACCCAGTGTAAAGTTTCTGCTTCTTTTCTTTTCTTTTCAATGCTGAATTCTTGTTAAGAGTATTTGCCAGGAATAATGATGTGGATTCCTAGTAATTTCAACTTGTGGCAATAGCTTGCAGCAAAACTTGAAGCACTTCGCGAGGAGTACATGCGTTATGCTTATGATAAGTGTTCTTCTGTGCTGAGAGAATATCATTCAGCTGTGGAGACGATTACAGGTAACTTTGTTTATCCTGTAGTCACTTTTCAGCGAATTGTTTTGGCCTGATAGTGATTAAGGATAATATTTGTGATTTTTTATCTAGCATATGCTATGAGTTTCAATGAGAGGATTGAAATTGAAGAAATGGGCATTCTCCTTCCATGTTATTTCATTATAAGGAAACAATAAATGGTCGAACCAAAAAAAGTTGAACTGAAAACATATTCTTGGTCGTTGTCATGTACAAAAGTACTTTAGTAGTTGATACTCACGTTCTGAGAGTTTATGTTTGGTATATCAAATCATTGAATATTGAGCATCATCCTTTCGTCTTCTGCAGATATTTTACTTCAGAAAGGAGAGATGAAAGCTGCTGAAATTTGGGATGTGTACAAAAGTGCTCCTAGAATCCCTCAGGTAAGTTGGAGCATGGCATTGAGCATATCTTTGAGCTGATTTTCGAATACAAGGAATCAGTCCATGACTTCCATATCCTCTATAAAATTATTGTATATTCATGACCATGAAGAAGTTCGGGGGAACCTAGTGTCTAGTGAAGGTAAAATAAAATGAGTTAGAGTAGAATGTAGAAATTCAGTGCCTGCCAAATTAGGGCTGCAATACTTGGACTCCCAGAAATTTTGATAGTTTCTATCTTCCCAGTCCTTTGGAACAAGCGGAAAGAAGAGGTTGCTGCTGTTTGAATCAGTGTCTTCTTCTTTATGCCTTTGCTTTCGGTCATTACTTGGTTAGCTTTGCTTTTGCCTTCCAGTTCGTTCTTGGTTATTTGAGGTACCATACAACTTTGCTCTTTCCTCTCCCAACATAGAGGAAAACTGCATATTCAACTGAGCTATACATGGGAGCCAGTCTGAAAATCATATATTTTTTGTCGTCTGGACACAGATTGGATGGTAAACTGACTAATGGAATTTTCTAAAATTTGTTCAACTTCCAGCCTAACGTGAATCCCATTGATGAGCATGGAGCCCTAATTTATGCTGGTCGATGGGGGATTCACGGTATCAGTCTTCCAGGTCGGGTCACATTTGCGCCAGGCAATGTCGGGTTTTCAACCTTTGGCGCTCCCCGGCCCACTGAGGTAAAAGAGAGATTCCACCCTTTGCATGAACTTCTCCACCTCTTTTTGCCACCTTTCCAATAATGTTGATTATCGTCCCTCTTTTGTTATTTTCTTGAATTTTTGTTTTTGAATTTGCAGACCCAAGTAATCAGTGATGAAACGTGGAAGCTAATAGATCACATTTGGGACGAAAGAGTTGAGGAAATAAAATCTGAAGCATCCGAGGAGGTCGAAGAAGAGAAAGAGAAACCACAGCTTTTGATGGCTAGCCATTTCCTCTAAAGATCGGATCATTGCCTGTTCCACATGGTTAGTATTGTTAGCTTCTTGTTTTCAAGCAGTTATTTACTGATTATTGGATAAAATTGCTAGGACCGATAACAGTCAAATGTGTCACACATTTATCATCTTGCATAATATTCTGTTTTCATGAAATTATCGAGTCTAAAGTCTAAACCCTCACGAGGAACTTGTCTATCCTGTCATAGTAGGGGCTGAACTTGGTATGGAGACAATTAAAGCACCAAACTTGATCTTATAATGGTTCGGCCATCTTATGTTGCTGATGTAGCTGACGTTGGCATATAGGGGCTGCCACATCAGCAACAGAGCGGCAAAACTCAAAAGCTAACGAAAATGGTGAATTTGGTGCTTTAATTCTCTAATAATTACTGAGTTTAGTGTTCAGCTGTTGTACATGTAGCTAGTCTGGTGATCAAATAGTAACCCTCTGGAAAATAGTTTGAGAAGAGCAGAAGCAAGGGCTTTCCATCCCCGAGCATCAGCATTTTCTTCTCTCCTCTGCCTAAACCCTTTTTTTTTCTCTATGTTATTATAACTCACAGCCCGTCTCTACCGTTACAGCTACCGGGATGGGCGACCTTGTTGTAAACTAGCAGGTCAGCCGGGCACTCCACATGTCTCGTAGTGTTCGATGTTCCGGATGAAAGAAATCCCCACCATAAGTGTGGTGATGGATTGGAGGGAGCTGGCCGAAAGCCGAGCTGCGAGATGGTCCTCACAGGTGCTGCCTCTTGTTATAGTTTCTTCCTCGTAATGCTTCATCAGTCATATGGGGTTTGCTATTAATAGATTGTGCTTCAGAGACCCCCCCTTAGTTGTTGCAGTTTAGGAGCCAGGTCTACATTTAGTGAATGAGAACTGTGACAATTTTCTGTTGTAACGGTAAATCCCCGTGAGGGAATAATGCGAGTAACCTGCTCGAAGTTTGCATTTCTTTACTTGCAACACAAGAATATGAGTGAGACGGGCAATTTTTTTTTTAGCGAACTAATAAAATTGAATTTGATCTTAGCCAATCGAATATGTGTTTTAACCTGATTTTCATCTCTCCGTATGTTCTTCTTTCACAATATTTGTATGTTCTCCAATTTTCACGATTCAAAATTGTGTCACGCACAGACAATCGGATGTATAGGGAGATAGTTCTCCCGATTTTCTTCTTTCACATCATTTGTATGGACTCCAATATTCAATTTTTCATGATTCACTAAAATAATCGGGATGTATAATGTATTGATAGGCAATTCTCGGTATTTTCTTGGTTCATTGCTTTTGTATGGACTCCAATTTTCGTGATTCTCTTACCGACATGGAAAAAAAAATAACAATTAGCTTAGCTGCGTCATTAAACTAACAGCCAACAACAAAGCAACAGACTAGGAAGCAGGGCCCTACGTAATTAATTGCATGATTAAATATATAAATATTCTCTTTCTCTATATGATGACGATCTCTCTCGCGGCTCCACCTGTCCACTTCCCTTTCGGCAACTGCGCTTTCCTTTTACAGTCTCCGCTTCTGACTGAGCACGGGAAGCAGAACGCACACACACCATGGACGAATCGGAACCAACCTCGTCGATCAACGGCACCGACAACAAGGCCAGTTCCCGCACCGTCCACGTCGACGACGATGACGGCGGTGGATTGACTCTATTCGCCGTCCTCAATCGCATGGTGTCGTCGATCTTCGCTCCGGCCAGCGGTGGCGGCGATCCCGCTCCGCTGCTGCAGCGGATCAAGGCGTCGCTGTCGGAGAACGGGCCGCTTCTGAAGGACGCGACGGCTAACACCGGACGGAAGATTCTGGTCTGGACTCGGAGCGGCAGCCCTCTCCGCGCTCTGCTCGTCATCTCCGTGAGTCTTTCCCTCTCGCTCTACTTCTCTCGATCGCTCGCTTTGTGCCTTCCCTTGAATTGGAAGTTTGTGTTCTCTGTTTGCCAGCAATTGCTTGAGGACTTCCTTCCTCAGTGTTACTATGGAGAGTTTGTGATTTGCTTTGATTTCAATTCATTCTTATCCGCTTCATAGAAGCTTATGTTCTTAAAGCTTCAATGGAGGGGAAATGCTCTTTCAGATTCAGTACACTTACCGAATGCGATTCAAGTGTTAGCAGTTTCCGGTCAATTTTTGTGCCCTCAGTTTGTACCAAGAATTGCTCAATTGTTTGCTTTTACTAATTCAAGTTCTGAAACTGCACCAGGTTGGGACAATTGCTCTTCTTGCCATGACGGGGATACTGGTCTTCATGCTGTTCTTCCTGGCAGCCACCATCAACGCCATTGTTATCTCTCTTCTCATGTCGTTGGCTGCTGCAGGAGGCTTCTTGGCTCTGGTCTTCACCTGTCTGGCTGCTATATACATTGGGGCGTTATCGATCGCGATATTCGCCATTTCGACTGCAACGATCTCAGCTATCATCGCTGTCGTGGTGGCTACAGGTGAGTGGATTATTACCAAACTTCTTCATTTCATGATCCATCTCATATAAAGCATCCTTAGATCTTTTGCTTGACTTGAAACTTGGATCTTCTCGTATTATCTGTAGCACTAGACCAACCAATATTCCTTTGAATGCATAGCTACGAGATAATAATATCAAGTTCACTGCGAGACAGTTCGTCTACCAGACTAGTGAAGTGGGTCTCTATTAATCAATTCTCTTGTTCAGTGTGTGAACCCAGTTACTCTTCTAAATTATCGTATGATCTAGACTAGCTTAACCAGAGTACTCTGGCTGTCATAGTTCACCTTTGCACTGTGCTGGTGGTGTTCCTGCATAAAAATATCTGGTTCTTCACGAAGGATCGGACCAACCATCAATTTGTTTTGCAAGTACTAATCGAGGCTTCATTCGAATGATTTCCTCCATCGAGAGGACGGGATGACCCTGATTTGGCATCATCATTGTGCTTGACATGAAAAATGAGGAAGGATAATACCACATAACACGTTCCTAGACATGAAACCCTATACTTTGTTTAGTTCCCCCTTGTGCCTGGATTCCTTTTGCCGTCTGATTTGGTTTTTGACTTGCCTATTTTGGTGTTCCCTTTTCGGTCAGGTTGGATCGGATTCTTCTGGACCATCTGGCTGGTGACAAAGAAGACCGTAGGTGTCGCCACACATTCACTGAGCTTGACCGGGTCAGCCATTTCCACGTACTCATCAGCTTGGCAAACTCGCGACGGAGCACCAAGCAAAGAAGAATGACAAGCTTCCAGCTGGGAAAGAAAGGATCGCTTGCGCTATAAGTAACCACCCGTCCTCATAAGGCAAGCCAAAAAAAAGCAGAAAGAAAACAGTGTATTGTATATGTTAACGGCTCTTCTTCTCCGCTTCTTCTTCAAGTCTATCCGTCCCACCTTGCTCATTGGCTTTCTTTTAGTTTGGCCGTTTTTCTCCCTGCAATGGTTTGCTTAGTTAGATTGCTAAGAGATTTCATATATATATATATAGAGAGAAAGCATAGGGTGCTGTAATAGTTTGAACATGCCCTGTACATTATTTCTTTCTAAAAATATCTACTGTTTTCCCTTTTGTGTATCAGAGGATTCATGGAATCGAAACATAAACAGCAAGGTCTTGGATCTGAAACTTGAATTCACATTGAATTATATTCGTATTTCTCGACCACTCGATCTTCGCTGATGAAACTCAGGGAAGCTCGAGAGTTCAGCTTCTCGATCAGCTGCTCAAATACGGTGGAGAGGAAAGCAGTTCCCGATGGCTTCCATGGCGTTGACGTGACGGAAGGGAGGAGGGAAAGTTCAAAGTTCTGCATCAGACGTAATGGCCATCAGCATTTCAATGGCCTCAACTCGGTCAATGGTCGTTCGTGTTATGGGCCAGCAGAATATTGGGCTGAATCAAAGAAATCCATCAAGTACCCATTGGGCCGAATTAAAAGAAAAAAAGCCTTAAACGAACCGGGCAGAGAAGCTTCATTTCGGGTTTCCGGGTTTCTCTCGGGGTCGAATCAAATTGTCCGTTCCCAGGAGTTCATCTCTCTCTCGAGCAGGAAAGAGGGAAAAGAGAAGCAGAATTACAGTTGAGCGAAAATGGCGGTTTCCTCCATCTCCATCCCCACTCTAATTCACCAACTATTCCATTGCAACGTTCCTCAGTCCTCTACATCTTCTTCCAGCTCCTTCGCGTTCCCTTCTTCATTCTCATTTCCCGCCTCCACGGTCTCCATCTCGAAGACTCACAACGCACCGTCTCTATCCATTTCCCGAGCTTCCTCTTCGTCATCCTCCTCGTCTTCTTCCTCTCGCAGCAAGAGCAAGACGTCGACGGCGAAGAAGAAGAAGAAGGGCAAGAGTGGCGGCGGAGGCGGGCATGGCGACTGGAAGGATTTGGGCTTGAGCGAGGTCGAAGTCGTTGAGCCTCGCGGCGGGGGCCGGGATTATGACGACGAAGATGATTTTGATGATTACGACGAAGCTGGCTCGACTTCCATTTCGAGGTATAATGCTCCGCCGACTACTCCACTCCCGAATCCTCCCGCTGGCTTTTTCGTATCCGAGTCCGGCAGGGTTTCGATGACTTCCGGCAACCGGATTGCCACCATTGTCAGTACTCTCTCTCTCTCTCTCTCTTATCAAATTGTTACAGCGAGAAGTAGGAATTATTCATTACTGTGCTGAACTGAACGAAATAGGCGTTGTGATATGCAGTGTTTAATGGTCACTTCGAATTCGTGCATTTCGAACGGCTTCATAAGAACAGATTTCCACTTACCTCTTAATTCAAAGATGCTGTGCATTCAGTTCACTGATTTCCTGTCTCTAACTGATGGCAGGTTGATGCTACGAATAACAATCCATTAGAGTGTGTTATAAGGAGGGTGTTTAGAAGTTCAAGAGGTGCTGAATGCATGCTCCTGTGCCCGGTTGATACGTAAGTGATCTCGTTTTAAATCTTATATGATTTTTATGCTTTCTGAAGATCAATGTGTGATTAATTTGATTACCTGTTGCAGACCAGTTCAGATATTGAAAAGTACAAATATTGATGGGTGGTCAGCGGTATGCTCTCCTGATATTTCCAGCTGATATTTGTAGTTTTGACACAAAGACCAGTTTCTAAGTCCTGTGACTAACATGTTTTGCTGCTTGTACATCATAGGTCAGTGATGATGAAGTGGAGGCAATACTTCCAGCTGCAGCATATGCTTTGGCCAAGATAAACATGCATCTAGTCCATAGCGGGTATAGTTGTTACCAGAATACATGCTTTCTGAATTTGTTCGTGAATGCATATCGGTGTGTTTTACAGAAATCAAATAGGTAACCTGTTTTCCTATCTCTTCTCAATGCCAGATTCTGTTACACAGCAAGAGGAGGATTTTGTTACTCAGAAGATGACATATTTGATTTCCGTACAGGCAAGGACCTTCTGCTAGCATTTTCTAAAGCAATAAGTTTCATCCACACATATAAGAAGTCATAGTTAGGTCATCGTCGAACCATTTGCACACATGCAAACTATGACCGGGAATCCGTTTGTCTCTCAACATCATAATTGCGAATTATGTGGTCACGGAGTGTGATTGTTCAGATAAAGATCAGTCCGATTTTCTTGGTTCCTAAATGAGGACTCGAAACATTCTACTAAACAGAAGCTCTGGTAATTTTGCAGATGATGGAGAAACTGTGGATGGCTTACCAACAGAGGGTGTTGAAATCACATACTTCCATCTGGTAGATTGACAGACATCTTACTTTCTTATATTAATATTTTCTGGGGACTTCTACTTTATGGAAAAGAGAATTATGGAGTGGTGCTTTGGAGATTTTTATACTGAGAACCACAATACAGAACGAAGGACTGAATTGTGCTGGTTTTTATTATTCTCCTTCTCCTACAGGATGGTGCACATTACATGATATATACTCCATCAGATCCACTCCTTTTTGTCGCAATTAAGGTAAGTGCTGTGCCTGGATTCTACTCTCTTGCCACTTTGGTGATCAAGTAGTAGCCCAAAAGTTATTTGGTAGAGAATCAAGGAGTTTGTTGGTCCTTGAGCTTGAGCTGAGCTAAATGGATTTTATCTGTGTGTTCTGCAGGATCAAGACGGAGTACTGCAAATAGCTGATGATGTAAGAAACTCTTTTACCATTTCTCTTCTCCTTTAGCTATTTGCCTTTTACTTTTTTGTTGCTTCCCTAGTTGATTTACTTCATCCACGACTCCTAGTCCGATGAAATATATGTTTGTGATCTCGCTCTAAATAGCAAAAGAGTAGAGAGTGTTAAAATCATATAGACCATAAAAAAACATCTTTATCCTTTCATTACAATAATAGGGCACGCAGATATAAAATTATTTTTTCTGGTAAGAAATGCAAGCTTAGTGGTAGGAAATGGGTGACTGTTTTGGGATACAATGATTCAATGGTGTTGCAACTTTTAAAACAGTAGAAGTGAGTCTTTTGATTAAAAGTTATAAAAATTTCTGTTTCTGATTGTTTGTCAATGGAACAGGATCTTTTGGAGGACTCGGCTATCGTGAGTGCAATTGATGAGGAGACTGAATTTAACGCACTGGTGGTACGTGAAACTACTTTTTATGAGTGCCCAATTGTGGATGCACTAGATGATGGAATCTCATGAATGATTGATAAATTCAATTACAGGAGGAAGAAGCTGCTCTTATGGAATCTTTGATGGGCAAAAGCTGATTGCAAACGTTGCAAACACATCAACATGTAAGCATGCCACTCTTTTACTGAATTGTTGTCCTGAGTAGTTGCGTAAATGCGGCCTGCTTCAAATTTGAAACTGTCTGGGTGGGGTTTCTTAACCGAAATGATGATAGACCAAGACAGTATGAATCACAGAAGGCCTAGAATTGCATTAATCGTTTCCTTCATATATTGTACATGAGGAAGCTTCTTAGCCTGTAATATTTGACTGATTTGTCATGAACAATATTTAGTCTACAAAGAACATGAAGTATTTGCACTTTACTAATTTTCTATTTCGTTTAATAGTAGACTAATTTTCCTTGATTGCATCAAGCTAACAATAATAACTCTATTAACCAATAGGAAAAAGAAAAATCATCTGATAGTTGAATGTCTTGATCTTGGGTGTAGCAATTGGGTAGTTGATACTGTACGAACTGTAATTTGGAGTGGATCCCCATTGGATTCTTCCAGTATTACCAGTAGATTGTCTGATGTGTTTAGGAACTCCCTAGGAACATGGTACCTGCATGAATGGAAATTCAGCAGGGTAATCATAATTGAAGGCCTGGCAGTACTCCTAATAGGCTGAAAAACTAAAGCAGAGGCTTACAGTGTCTGAGAAGGATTTCCTTGCTTTGTCTTAATTGTCATCCAATAGCGCCCAATGCTCTCTCCATTCACCCATACTTGACCTTTTCCCATACTGGTTAGGTTCAATGCCACTGGCTCATCCCCCTTAGGTGCATCAAATTTTGTCTGTACAATTATGTTTATCATGTCAAACTTGAATCAAGTTTTTACTTTGTAGCAAAGACTTGTTTATATTGATTCTTAAGGCTCTAACATCAGAAGGCACAAGCTTTTACTTTATTAACAAATTTTGCACATTCTTTTGAAAATGACGAATATGACATGAAATCAAGTACTCCGATGACAAATATGAGTATATGACACACTCTATAGGTTTCTGGTGAATTTTACAGTGATTTTGACATGGTCAGTAAGTGTGAAGATGGTGCTGACTGCTGACTTGAAAACTTATTCTTGTTTCATATTTGTCATTTTGAAAAGAATGTGTCAAACCGTTGATAAAGCGAATAGTCGTGCCTTACTCTGCTATTTGGCCTATTCTTAATCATTCTCTACTCTAGTTACTCACTCTAAACCATCTGGGTGACGGATCATCGTTTGCTGATGAAGAATCAGAGATTGGATTCCATTTGACTTTATCTGTATTCTCTTGTGTGTATATCCCTAAGCTCTCTCCTTGAAAACCAACCTTCCAAAATCACCAGAATAATGCATTAATATAACCAATACTTGATGCTTGGTCGGAATACCCCATTTCCCGGTGGAAATTTTTACCTGATAGCCCCATTCATCACTTGTGACATTGTGTGTAGTCTCTTTGCATTGAATTTCTACCTTAGTTAGTCCTGCGTATCTCTTCTCCATGAAAGCTCCAGAATCCTTCATTAAATAGAGTTATCATGAACATGCCAGTTATTCTCCTGTTCACTAGAGTTTAGCTTAAGTATAATTGAGAAGGTCCAGAATTGAAGAAGAGAAAGCAAAATTACATACCCATAGTCCCACCATAACACTTAGTATAGAAACATCATTCTTCGATTCACTTAGTGAGATTGGTGCTTCGACCAAGACTGCCTTTTTCTGACCTGTTGAATTCCCATGAGCTGATCCTGACCATTAGTAAGATTAGTGATCATTCCCAAAGTGCATAGTTAATTAATAATGGTAGCGATTAGGCTCTTTTACCTGCGTATTCCCCATTGACAAAAGCATAAACAAGGTGTGAGAGGAACTTCACTTTCAGTTTTGGTTCTGTGCAAGAAGCCGAATTTGGTTGGAAGCTGTAAGTTTTGAACAGAACTAGTAAGTTACAAGGGATAATAAGAGTATTGTGCAGTCTCAAAAATCTTGAACCTGTGAACTTAAGAAAGGCTGAAAGAACACCCTTACTATGCTCCATGCTTAATCACTAATTGCCAGGATGGTGCATAGCAAGTTCTTAGGAGGAAAGAAGGTTTTTTCACCTCATCGTGTACCATAGATAGTCAGTAGAATCCTTGGTTATATTTGTTTGCTCCTCTATCTGATTGAATCGCATTGTAGTGTCTGAGAAAGTAGGTATGGCCTCTCTGTATTCCTCCCATTGATGCTCTGCACCTTTTATAGTCTTGCTCTTTGTCGCTATTCTTTTGCTGATTGCTGCATTCACCTTGGCTGTGTCGAAGGCTATTTTCTTACAATCGGGCAGAACACTAATCGACCTAGGTCGCAGCTCGAAATTTGCATTTCTGAACTCAACTGTTGCATTGGTTGTGGCGTTGTTGAATAGAAATGCTGCACACTTGTTTCCCTCATCTGTCGAGTCTTCATAAACATAAGCCTGGAGAAGCTTTGTTAGTTAGTTCTTTGTGATTACTAATTAGTGGATCCGAAATCGACAAAGGGCATATGATCTAACTGATAAGGAGCTATTTAGAGCTAAAACCCAAACCTGTTGGTGTTGTCCCAGGGAGATCTTTCTCTGGACTCCATTTAGTAAAGCTGAAGAACAAGATTTAACTGCGGCGTGCATCTCTTTAAGATGGCTCCATTTTGGTTCTCTGATCAAACCTAGGAGAACCATGAAAATTCATGTCAGTTTTTGGCTGAAGCTCTTGTAGTAGATAGAGGAACAAGTAGGTAGGGTTAGCTTATAGCGTTGTTTGAATTGGCCTCTCACCATATTCATCAAGAGGAGCTTGGTCGTAGTACTGTGTCACCATGTATGCTGCCCCACTTCTTCCAAAATTTGTCCCTCCATGATACTATAATTGCAGAACGTTCGTCGTTAGTTTAGAAGGTGTCCTCGTTACATTGACACTATGGATTGGCATTAGTATTCTTACCATGTAGTAATTGACAAAGCTTCCATTTTTGGCAACAATGAAGAGCAAGGTGTGGAAGGCGATATCTTGAGCCGATCTTAGGTATGTTTCGTCTCCATACCGCTGTAGGCTTCATGTTGAATCACGAGTATAAAATGCTTGATTAGTTTTCTCTTAATGAGCTAGATACTGACCCTAATCAAGTTGATTGTTGTGTCATTACTCATTAGTTTTAGACCAGATCAGATGGGACTTACAAGGATGTCCAATTCTCTGTCCAAAGTGCTGGCTTGGATGGGGAGTTTGGCCCTGTGAAAGTTTCTCCACATCTCATCCCATTGCATGAGTTTATCTGCATCCAGTTAATCTCGTCATTAGCGTCTTAATCCGCGGATCTTACTAGTTAAATTTTTGTGGGTGAAACTGTGAAAGAAGGGGCAGTACTAACTACTAACCACAGGGTCAGGAGCATCAGGTTGCTTGCACATCACCCAGGGGACTCCAGTTTGGAGATCGACTGCCATTTTTGCTGCCCACTTCACATATGCTTTCCCTCCCTTTTTGAATGGTGCTTCTACATTTCCATACTCATTCTCTATCTACAAAAAAATGATCTTTGAATCAATTAGACAGAAAGGTAGCCATCCGGCTAGGCGCCGGCCTGGTCTAGATTCGAATGAAATCGGATCGAATCAGTATAGTCGTATAGGATTGAACTGAAAGCGAAGGGAAGATGAGGATCATAACCAAATGACTAATAATGCATAGTTGTTTTGCTCTATTTTTTTTTAATATAAATCTAATAGACCAAAAACAACAAATTTTTAAAACTTTTTGAGTTAAAATTGAATTGAATGTGTACATCACTCGTTTCAGTTTAACTTTACATGGTTCGGACTGTTGTTCACTTGATATTGGGCAAGTTTCTTTCCAGATGTGTATCGTTCTCATACTATACTGTTAGGCCTGCCAATTCCTTAGGATCGGATCTTGCAGCTACCAATCCGAGTGACAAAAAATGTCGGTTTTTAATCTCGACTTGAGCTGCTTATTGATTTTCGAAAATGGGATGCTAAATGACTGATTTACCTGTGATAAGATTATGGGCCCACCTTGCGAAGCGAACAAACTCTCCGACTTCATCATGTCCACTATTTTGGTAACGAAATTTCGCATGTAATTCTGGATTATAAAAGAAATATGATTAACGAAACAAATTACCTTCACAATAAACCCAATACTTCATCTTAGTTTAATTATCATTATCTTGCTTGAGACTTGAGAGCAATAATTGTCAAGTACCAGTTGATCCCAATAACTCAAGTTGTTGGGAGAGGTTCAATCGTGAATCATATATCACACACTAACAATAATAAAATGGCTATGTATACTGTAATACTTTAAAGGGCTTGTTATCTGTCCTGTAGACAATGCCAGGGATGTCATGCAGCCAGAAAGGGATCCCTCTGCATATCAAAACCATTATCATTAACGACGACGTTTTCAACTTAATTATGACATAAGACTAAGGGTTAATACCCTCGTTTGGCACAAAGTATAGCGTTAGTGACATTTCTGGCTCAAGTTTTCAAATAAGACATCTCTGGCCCACTTTTCAAATTATCGGACGAATTTGGCCTATGGGACGGGTTGACTGTCAGATTTGACGGTCAACAATGTTCTCCGTTGCTGACTCAGCATTGGACTCTGACGTGGCTTGTCCACGTCATTTATTTTTAAAAAAAATAAACAAAACTAAAAGGGAAAGGTGGAGACCAGCCCCCTTCTTCCTCCTGTGAAACCAACCCCCTCTTATCCCTTCCCCGAACAACTCCGCCCGATCCCTTGAACTGCCATACCCCCAATCAATTAACCACAACGCAGATTTGTTATTTCATCGAGCTGGAAATCGACTCGTTCGCCGGGAGCGGGGCGGAAACCTCGTCGGCGGCGAGGGACGACGAAGACGAGCTGATTCTGGAAGCAATCGCCAGGCTTCCGTCGGAGAAGCGGGACAGGTACGCGGTGCTGAGGAGGACCGAGACCATCGATTTGCATAAATTGAAAAAGACGGACAGAGAGCTTCTGGTGAAGAAGGCTCTGGCGACCAATTCGCAGGACAATTTCAAGCTGCTTTCGGCGATCAAGAGCCGGCTGGATCGGGTCGGGATCGAGGTGACGACGGTGGAGGTGAAAAGGTGGAGCGGCCGATGGATGCGGAGGGAAAGGTTTGAATGGGTTTGTGGACCACCTCACGGATTGGATCCGGTCCGGGAAGATGATTGATTGATGGGCGGCGGAGTTGTTCGGGGAAGGGGATACGAGGGGGTTGGGTTCACAGGAGGAAGAAGGGGGAATGAAAGAGATGGGTAGTGTGTGGTGGACCTGGTCTCCACCTTTCCCTTTTAGGTTTGTTTTTTTTTATTATTTTTTTTTAACTTACTGACTTGAAATGTTCATAAAAAGGGAAATAAAAATAAATGACGTGGACAAGCCACGTCAGAGTCCAATGCTGAGTCAGCAACGGAGAACATTGTTGACCGTCAAATCTGACAGTCAACCCGTCCCATAGGCCAAATTCGTCCGATAATTTGAAAAGTGGGTCAGAGATGTCTTATTTGAAAACTTGGGCCAGAAATGTCACTAACGCTATACTTCGTGCCAAACGAGGGTATTAACCCTAAGACTAATTAGGACTAATTAAGAAGAGAGGGCGGTGAAAAATTGTGAGAGTATTGATTGGGCTTACCCATAAGTCCATTCACTCTCAATGAATGGGCCGATTCGAAGGCAGGCATAGAGGCCTTGGGCCTGGACCTCCTTTATGAACTTCACCAAGTCATTTCTTCCACTGAAATCATACTACAACCAAGGCCCAAATTAAAAAAATAATGAGATCCGAATTAAATTGATGGAACAAAGTGCGCGTTTTCAGTGTACATGACATATGAATCACTTCAAATGTGTGGTACCAAGTACGTATTGAACCTTTTTTTAGTGAGTTTATACGATAATTTTTTTACAAATAGATGATATATCATGCCAATTAAAAAGGGATTGTAACATGTATGAAAATGTTCTTTTATTGTTAAGAAAATAGTGTAGAAGTAAGAAGAGGATATAACCCACCTGACCAGGTTTGGACTCATGAAGGTTCCAAAAAACATAGGTCTCAATAACGTCGATCCCTCCTTCCTTGGCTTTTCCTATCAAAGATCTCCACATCTGCCGAAAAAGAAAATAAAAATATGTTACTTCAGCCTTTATTTTCTAATTAATTTGATATAATAAATGAAATTAAGTAATGCTTCGATCTAATACACAAGTTGATGAAGAAAGGAAATGCATTATTATGATGATGAGGAATATATTAAAGAGGATAACAACGACAAATAAAGAGAGAGTCTCCACCACAAGTTGATGAGGCATTTATCCTAAATGTTTCGATCTCTAATTATTGATTTTAAATGTCAGAATAGCTTTGTGATCCAAAAATTAATTATAGTGATGTTAGCACTAGGTCTTAGTAATGTGAGTATGATACGTTTTGAAATGAGCGATCCATATTCTTTTTAGATCTCGTCTTTGGACGGACATGTGAATCTCAATGATAGATGATTCAAAACACGTAACAAATGCACATCATTATGCATGTTTATGGACAAAAACGAATTAGTTGGCCCTAGCAAGGTCATAACAAAACGAAGATCCAATTAATACCCTAAGATGACAAATAGAAAAGAATATCTCTCCCTGCGTGCCTGTGGAAACGAATGGTGATCAGGAATCGCATTGAGTTAGGGGGCTAGTTGTGGCTACTACTCATTTGGACGGTGAGTGTAGATCGAGTCGGATAATATTGTTTGAAATAAGGATCAGATAGGTTGATGTGTTGCAGAATATAATTCGGAGAAAAGAACTAAGAGAAATCCTCTTTTAAAGAATAGGGGTAAGAGAAACTTATATGACTAAACAATTTGCGTTATTTGAGAGATGTAAATACTCAATATAGTTGAAATATTATTTAAGAAATACAAAAAATACGAGAAAGATATTAAAAATAATGTATGTAGAGTAAAAAGAAATATTATTTATTGCTAGAAATAAGGATCAGATAGGTTGATGTGTTGCAGAATATAATTCAGAGAAAAGAACTAAAAGAAATCCTCTTTTAAAGAATAGGGGTAAGAGAAACTTATATGACTAAACAATTTGCGTTGTTTGGGAGATGTAAATACTCAATAGAGTTGAAATATTATTTAAGAAATACTAAAAATACGAGAAAGATATTAAAAAGAATCTATGTAGAGTAAACATAAATATTATTTATTGCTTGAAATAAGGATTAGATAGGTTGATGGGTTGCAAAATACAATTCGGATATGTATTTTGCAAAATATGATTAAGAGAAAAGAACTAAGAGAAATTCTCTTTTACAGAATGAGGGTAAGAGAAACTTATATTTCTAAACAATTTGTGTTAATCGAGAGATGTAAATACTTCGTAGAGTTGAAATATTATTTAAGAAATACTAAAAATACGAGAAAAATATTAAAAAGAATATGTAAAGTAAAAAGAAATATTATTTATTGCTTGAAATAAGGATCAGATAGGTTGATGTGTTGTATTAGATAATTCGGAGAAAAGAACTAAGAGAAATCCTCTTTTAAAGAATCGGGGCTAAGAGAAAGTTATATTACTAAACAATTTACGTTATTTGAGAGATGTAAATACTCGATAGAGTTGAAATATTATTTAAGAAATACTAAAAATACGAGAAAGATATTAAAAAGAATATGTAGAGTAAAAATAAATATTATTTATTGCTTGAAATAGGGATTAGATAGGTTAATGTGTTGCGGAATATAATTTGGAGAAAATAACTAAGAAAAATCCTCTTTTAAAGAATAGGGGTAAGAGAAGCTTATATTACTAAACAATTTAGGTTTTTGAGAGATGTAAATACTCAATTGAGTTGAAATATTATTTAAGAAATACTTAACATATTAAAAAGAATTAATGCAGAGTAAAAGGATAAATACCTTATTCTAGTTGTAGGTCAAAAAATATTCATAAAACAAGTGAATCGAGTTTATCATCGGACATTAATCCCCATACAAAAAGACAACGATAGCTTGTTGTTTGAGACAAATAACAAACACACAAAGAAGAACCGTTATATCTTCTTTCATGAACAAAATCCCATTCTTCAACTACTTTCTCTTATCATAAATTGCGTGCATGGCATGGCGTCTTTTCTTTCAAGTTCTTTCAAACTAGATCGGTACAAAGATACCTACTTTTTTATGATATTATAAGAGTGGAAAATTGGAAATTATTATTGGATAGATAACATTTTTCAACAAGTTCTTAATGAAAAGAGAACTTGAGATAGCACATCTTATAATCCACCCATCAAGAGAACTTGATTTGGTTCAACCTATAAAAGAAACCAGTCAAAAAGAGTCTAGTGTGGTTGACTATCGACTTATCAAAAGTAAAACGAATAGGGATCATTTGAAATCAAAGGCTTTGTCACTTCAGTTTTATCTAAATTATTTCAACTTTCAACTCAATCATCCTCTTATTATACGAAACCCGAATCATATTTTTATTTCAAACATACTTAACCCGCGCAAGTCAACATATTGAGTCGGACATCTTTCCTACAAACCGTGTACTTCTCATTGGTGTGAGTTGTGTAACGGTGGTCTTGGATCAGACTATACCGAATCAGATATATCGTGGTTCGGTCTTGGTTGTCATGAGTTTTATAAATACCGAAGAAAAGTGAACCGAATTGACATTTGGATCGGACCAAACACAATAATAATCCAGTTCTTGGTTCTAAGATATCTTCCACTATTAAACGGTATGTGATTCTCGTGAGTTTGTTCCGGTGACCGGACCATTGCACACTCCTCGCCGGAGAGGAAACAAAGAAGGAAGGTAGATAGGTAGGAGGAGGAAGAAGAAGTAGATTTAGGAATACCTTGGGGGTGCTCCTTGGATAATGAATGGAACCAGAAAACAGAACCTTCCTTTCCCCATCTATTATCAACGACCTCCCATCGTACGTCACATTCCCTCCGGCCACCACCGCTGCCGCCGCAACCACCACCACAACGGCGGCTAACAGCCTTCCCCGCCACCACCAGCCGCCGTAGTAGCTCCCCATATACTTAAGCTAAAGAGATAGGTAGAGATAAATAATAAGAAGAAACAGTCTCTCTTCAGAACCTTATAAGGAAGTGTTTGGAGCGAAGCTCTGTAGAGTGTAGAGAGAGAGAGAGAGAGAGAGAGAGAGAGAAGGAAGCAATAGCGGTAACCAAACTTCGAAAAGGCCACCTAATTTTTAGACTTTAACCGATTTGCCACTCAAGTCTTGAAAATGGATTAATTAATATTAACGAATACGGTGGGTCCATTTTCTTTTGTGCTCTCTACAATGTCGAGTACGTGACTTCATCGAGAAATAAACTAGATAGACACTCTGATTAGCCATTTAGTCGGAGAGGACATGGTTTCGCGAGGTAACGTTGATTGGTATTGGCTCGAGGTTTATTTTATATACGTATAATATTGATGAAATGGGTCGCTTATATGTCAACCATTCCGAAAAAATACGAGCAAAATATTTTATGGAGATTGATATCGGACTTTTGTGCTAGTCATTCATTACTTGGCTGACAAGTTTCAATGAGATCAGATATTGCGCGTGATCGATTTGTCATCGATGCAAATTTTCTATCAATTGCAAATTTTGGAAACGAAAACACGAGTACAGTCGGGGAGGCTCTTGGAGTTATTTTTTAACTCTAGGGATTGATGTGTTAGAAAGAAAAATCTGAATGACAGATTTATTAGTGATGACCTACAATTTTTCATGATAATTTTGGCTCCATTATGTAATTTGTTTCCTTTGCAAGATACAATCACAACCAGAATGATGTAAAAGGCAAGTTAAAGCCCCAAGCAAGGGAGAGAAAAAGGAAAGTATGTTTGTTTTTCTGACGTGTTTTGTTTAGTTGAATATCCCATAAGCAACACCTTCCCCTTCTTTCTTCATCTATTTGGGCTTTTTTTTTTCTTCTTTAGTTGGTTTGTTAGTTGACCATCTTTGACGACATTTTTTTTATACATGTGCTTTATATTTTCTTATAATTAATCATTAGGTATTTTGGACAAAAACTAACATACATTTCATAATTCAGCATATACATAATGTGGTATCAAACTATCCAAAATACAACAAGAATGATGATGGAAATGGTATAAATCTTGATTTTTGGGTTGTGGGAACGGAAACGAGAACCGGATAGGAAAATCTCTTTCTCATTCAAATAAATTGCCCTACCTGTATTCTTACACCATGTATCAATAATACTATAAACTGTATATCCTATTATTGATACAGGGCGTAAAAATACATTAATTTTTTGATATCGAATACTTTATGGTTGTTATTAGCGATGGAGCATATTGGTGGATGGAAATATCTTTAGTGTCATTTTTTTTATTTATGAGTGGTGTGATCTTATTAGTTTCATTACCAACATCTTTTATATTAAATTGGTGCAGATTTGGATACAAAACAAGTAAAAATCTGAAATCAGAGGGTACGTAATGCCCAACTTAGATTGCTCTCCTTCTACACGTCTAACAACAAACATGAAGAGATTAGGGCAGACAATCAAATTAAAAGAGGGTGAATAATCAAGAGGTTAGAGTTCAAATGTTTTTATCTGAAATGTTATAACCCAACCGGTTCCAATAATTCGAGTTACATTGTTGGGAGAAGTCCATAAATAGATGCGAATCACTTTCTTACACGTCCTCTTAAACGAAAGTCAGCTCATATGTTTGAAGTTTATACAAACTATCATACCGTGTGCTTTAAAATAATGTTTAGTATTGGGGTAATGAGGACTTGAACACGTGAGCTAAAAAACAAGCTGCCTTCAATGCCATATCATAAACGAAATAGTCCCAATAACTCGAGTTATTAGAAAATGTCCACGTATGAATCTTAACACCCAAAATCGACCTACAAGCCTACCTCGATTTCCACCACCCAATTTTACCCTAAATTAGTGGAGTAAGTATCCCTATAATTAGTTATTATCTAAAAAAAGGACAAAGTTTCAAACTTTCTAAATCACTATAAAAGGGCACCCCATCCTATCTATTATCCTCAAGGCACAAAATTAAAGACAATAAAGAAGAGTAATTAAGAGAGATTACGAAGAGGAAAGCAACCATTCTTCTTCATTAGCATCTCTCTTTTTCCTCTTCTTTAATTCGATCATAATGGAGATGAAGAAGGTTGCTTGCGCCGCCGTCGTGTTCGCTGCCGCCTCAATGAGCGCAGCCTTGGCTCAGGAGGCCGCCGCTCCTGCCCCCGACGCCGCCGCTTTTGGCCCCGCCGCCGGTGCTGCCGGACCCTCCGCCGCCGCCGGTGCACCGACGAGCGGTGCTGCCGGTGTCTTGCCGGCTATTGGGTCTTTGGTGGGTGCCTCCATCGTCTCCTTCGTTGCCTTCTACTTGCAATAATTTGCTCTTCTTCTTCTTTTCTCATTTGTAATTTGTTTTTTAATTGGTCGTGCAATATTGTTATGAACACATTTGATTAATGAAATGTGTATTCTGATTTGATTGCGCGATAAACCGTAAAAGTGGGAAAATTAATGATCATGAATAATAAGTATAATTATTCTCTGGTATGATAGATCATTGTCGTCCAGAAGCAAGGATTGAAAAATTGTACCAAATACTGGAGGTTCGACTAAAAAAAACTTCCTATCGAAGTCTAATTGATAGGTAGTATCTAGCGGTATGAAACTGTTGAACCATGATTTCAGCATAAAACATCATATCGCTGAATTTTCCTGTATACCAATTGTCCTTGTCGTGATCTGGTTTTACAATCCTTGTCGTGATCTGGTTGCAACGTTTGTGATGCAAAACTTGGATTACCAATTGTCCAAATGAGAAATCGGATGAAGATGAACATATGACTACGTTTAGTTATCATTAATTGTAGTAATTGATTTTTTGAAAATCAAAGTTGAGTGATCGAATATTTTTTTAATTTTAAAACAAAAATTGTTTAGAACTCGAGACATTAAAATGGGACTTTTCATCTGACTCTTATGTTAATTTTTATACCTTCATATTAATCGGGAAATATTGCAATCAAAATATCGAATGGAGCCACAACGGACATTTAAAATAGGATATGTTCATCTAGAAGTAAAAGATGTCATGAATAAGATGATTTGACCCAAAGTTGATCTTTAAATAAACATGCACTAATCTCGATACTTAAATACGTATTATAGGGGTATTTGGGCACGTCCACTTAAATGAATATATTATCATCCGTCAATTTGTTCCTCAGATTTTCGATCATCTTGCGATTAGCTAGGTTTTCAATACTTTGTTTCTTGGTTTGCGCAAAAATTGAAACTTGTTCACCATACTTGTTTGAGATCCATAATCTAGTCTACTATATTAATTATATCGAACCGACGAAAATCGAAAAATACAGAAAACATAAACAAACACGAGACACACAATTTTTTTACGTGGTTTCCCCGAAAAAAATCGGGACTAGTCCACGGGAGAGTGCAAGACTCTCCGAGTTCTTTCTTTTATTACGTTTTTTTTTTCTGGGTTTAGCTCTTTTCGCTAACCTCTACATCGATGGAACGAACAACGACTGCTCTCTATTACGCTTCTGCCGGATCTCTTGCGGCTGCTTCCTGGCAGCTCTGCCGGCGGCGACGCCCTTCTTCGAGTGGCTTTTGCTCACGGTTGTCGAAGAACCCAACTCTCTTGCTGGAGGAGGTGTTGTTGTCGGCGCTGTCGTGGAGATCATCATCGGCGGCGGCGGCGGCGGTGGAGAGGCACTTGTAGCCGCGATGAGCTTTGTAGCTCTTGAGGGCACGATACGCCATAGGGATTAGGCCGTCCATGGCGGTTCTTTGATGTATCGCTTCAAGTGTGGTTCGTTAGTTTACTACTTCAGTTGGTTTTATATTTATAGTAGTGTTATGATGATCAATATTCCATTAGGAAAAAGGATTAGTTCTAGGGTAATCCTTGTACTTGTAGGAGAAGGAATGTGAAACCTAAACGAATAAGGATTAGGCAATTGCGAATTGGTTATCATAAAGTTAATTTCTTCGGTTAGTTACTTAATTGTTTTGCTTTATCTATGAATTATACTCATAGTTATCCAAAAATCAAGTTATTTTTAAATAATATTTTAATATAATTTTTCTAATTAAATATATTGTGAAACTATAGCAGAGGCCGTCATATAGGAAAATTTAGTGATAGAGTATTTTGTACTGAAATTTTGGTTTAATTGTGGTCCAGCCGTTTCATACAACTAAAAACCGCCTATCGTTTGACATCAGGTACCCGGTATTCCCAGTCCGAAACGGACGATAGGGTACGTTTTATAAAACATTGCTTAAATTAAATCCTTGATAAATTCCATCATACATGATTGAGTTACGAAAACTTCTGGATAAGTATCCTTGTATTTGTTTGTTTGTAACTCGAACAAAATGTAGTTACTCAGTCAAAGCACCACTCATGTACATAGTTGACGATTTTGTCGAACAGTCTTGTCAGACGATGAAGTTTGACACATATTCAACTCTTTTACTCGTATGAATGAAAATCGAGACGGTTGCATAATTTCCTTCACTCGTTTATTATTATTATTTTTGGTTATTAATGCATATGAAATTTTATTGAGCAGTAGTAGAAATGTTCGACATATCAATTTTATCATATACAGTGAAGCAAATGATCAATATGATTCCCCCTTAAATCATTCATCCTCAGTAGCTGGAGGAGGAGCTTGGAAGTCGATCGCAATTGGCTGCAGCGCTCCATCCAATCATTTGCTTCTCGTTGTCATAGATCACCATTCTATCTTGCATCGAGACGTCTGAGAATCGAGAAAACGAACAGCAGAAACAGAATTCACAAATGTGGTTCCAAGAGCAGCAGACAGAAAACAACGAAACAACCATTTCATCTGTGTATCCGTTTAGAATCATGATTCAGATTCAGTTTCAGTTCAAATGCTTTTACCTCCAATGATCGTCAGGTCCTGCAAGCCCACCTCGGTCCCGTTTAGGATCCCCAGGCAAACATTTCCCTTGGACTGCAAGAAAGCCATCACTCACAACATAAACTGACAATCAGATAACAGGCAGAGAGGGACAGTTTCAAAGGGATAAATCGATGATGCCAGGGGGAAAAAAAGCTCGAAAGGCTCACCGAGATTATGAGGTAGGATTCCGGGGGCATTTCGTATGTAGTTCTGGACCTCCAACCGCCTTTGAAGGTCAGTGCCAGAGGCTTGAAGTACTTCCTCACATCTCTTATGGTCTTAAATGGTCTCTGCCCTCTCCAGCACACTGGAAGAGTACGGTCATCCCAGTCTTCTCTCAATGGCTTCCCAGAGAGTTCCTTCATCAACAGCTGAATCAACACTTGATATGCTTGGGAGCCGAAGTAAGTGTAGGAGCTCCCGCTGTCTATTGCTACGAGGAGATTTTTCACCCCAGTTGCCTTCCCGCCAAATACAAGTTCTGCATATCCGGGAGAGTAGTGCCTTCTGACAACAAGGGCCAAGCAAAATGAAGAAATGTGAGAGGCAAGTTTGAATTCACTGGACGCGCAAGCCTTTGAAAATTCGTAATCGTTTTGGGTGCTCGCTCTACTCACGAGTCGTGGCGCAACATTGGTGTCCAAGCTACTCGAGACGAGTCATAAACATCATCACCGAAGAAGAGAAACCCTCCACCTCTCGCGCTTAAACAATGGCCTACTACATTCCTCACCAGACCATAACTGCTGAGCTGAGACAGGATTCCAGATTTCCCACTGCCTAGGCCGAGCACTCCATCTATAGGATGATATGATCCCCCTGGAAGTTGATCATATCCACATCTGTATAGCATCTAACATCGACATCTACTTAGATGATGATTTTGCAGAAGAGTCGATCGCATAAAACAGAAGCAAAACAAAGGCAAGTAAAACGAACCCAAGTGCCAGATGAGGATTATGATACTTCCCATTCGTGAAGTTGAGAAGGAACATGTCCTTGACAAGGACACCGAGGGATGAACCACCATCTGCATACTCAACCTCGTAGTCACACTGCTCATTCTCTTTACATCTGTGACCAGGTGGATGTAAGGATGCACAGATTGGGTCCTTACAAGGGACCAGGTTATTGGAGGGTCTGTAATATGGATGAGGTGCCTGCAATTTTATACAAAAATTTCGCCATAAGTTTCACTCATTGCGTTGCCTGCTAAGCTAACTGAGAGGGAAGAAGAAAATGTGAACCACTACACCTAGCTCTTTTACATCTAACCATATCATTCTCAGAAGTACATTGATTCCTGGCATGGCATTACATCCCATCTATCTCAATTCTAACCGCGAAATCAAATTAAACGACGTACCTCGATGCATTGGACGCATGGAGCATCACATTGGAGCCAAGTGAGGTCGCTTCCTGTGTCCACATCAAGATAGTATGGCTTTGGTGGTTGGCCTATGTACACGGTGACATTATAGAACCTGCGTGCGGGGAATGTTTGAACACTAGCATTAGAAACCATGGTGTAAATCCGAAATTGGGAAGAAAGGGCATCTTCAATCATCTGTCACAAGCATATGAAAATGATTTCACACTTCAATTGCTATACATGAGAGCACCTCACACATCCGACATAGCAATAAGCTAGTGTCAATTGGGAGCACAATAGAAAGCTAGAAAGACTGGAATTTTGGATCATATACCCAATTGGATAGACATTCCCATGAAGGGGAAACACAACAGAGGAAGAGGAACCAACTCGATTGAAACCCATTGAAGAAGAAGCTGCTGAAGAAGATTCTCCTCCCCTCGAGAACATGGCCTTCCTCAAACTCCATCCGCCGCCATGTCCAGAACCCGCCGCAGTCGCCGCCATCGACAGAGCTACAATTGCCACCAGCTGAACAAGAAGAAGAACGGGAAACCCCGTCTTCCCTTTTGCCATTATTCCCAGCTGGGTTCGCCCTTATTCAACTGCTGTTTGATCTTTGTCAAACTGAAAAAAAAAGGGGAAACAGGAGGAGTTAAGTTCGTGGATGATTTCTCGAGTTGTGAATCAGAATGGAGGGATTTAATAAGGGACGGAATCCATGGAGGAAAGGTTTGCTTGGGAACGAAGTGATCCATGGCCGCAAGACCGCCATGGCTACCGAGAGAGGGAGGGAGGGTTTTGGTATCGCTTGGAGTTGAGGAGCTCCAGAGTTTCGGCAATGTGGGATCTTCTTCTTCAGGGGAAGAAAACCGAAAACCTCTTGTTCTGTAGAAACTATGCGGTGTAAAGTTACCTAATGGTCATCAAAGTTTTCCTGCATACCAAAAAGTTAATGAGGGATTTCGGTAAACATGGGAAAGTTATCCCTGGCAATTACTTTTCAGTTCAATTTATAATTAAGAAATACTAATAAATTGTAATTAAAAGAATAAAGCGTTTGTGATTTTCGTTTAAGCCTCTTTGACGCGGGCAACGGGGTTTGTGAGTTCAGTGACCAACAAAGCACTTTTCGCTTCAATGATGGAGTTTGGCTATCACGAAAGAGCTAGGGCAAAAAAGAAAAGAGTTTGGATAATAACAACAAGAAGAAGAAGAAGCAGTGAGGGATTCGACCCATTAATCTAAAGGAAATGAGAGATTCATAAGGTTTACCCCTTTTTTTTAGATTAGTGAATGACTCTAGAATAAAGTGTCTAACTGGTTTATATTGTTGCGTCGGTTTAGCAAGTGGTATGATTCGACCAATAGTATAATAGATTTGTGCTCGTTCATGTCGATTTAATAAAATATGAAAAATAATCAACATAAAATGAATTTAAGTATATATAAACCATATTTGAAAGACAATTTGCTTACCATATATATTCCTATTTAAATAAAATATAACATTCCAAACAAAATAATAAATAATCATATTTAAATATAAGAATTGGCGTCAAAGATGGTGAATGAGAAACACAACAACAAGGTTTTCCTCTTTCCAACTTGTTCCTTTGTTATGGCATCAGAGTCTGGGATAATTCCCTAGCCGCCACCCCATTCAATGGCTGAAAATCAAGCTGAATCATAGCCACAGGCAGATCCACAACCACAAGATCCACATCAACCAAATGTGGATCTTCAGCTTCTACCATCATAACCCAAAGATCAATCATGAGAGCTACAACTTCATAGATCTATTGATAACCAGGTCCCTTTATGTCTCTTGGTCCTAGAACATTAGGAGAAGGAAGTCCAATGACATCAAATTCCTCTTGTTGATCTTCTTCTTCCATTGGAGACTGATAGTATGTATGACCAGATTTAGATAAACCACCAGACTTTGTGGCCTTCTCCAAATCATAGCCAAAAGGCTCGAGTCTGAATCCTCCATTTCTCCATTACAGTCTTACAAACTTAACTTAGTTAAGACTGGAGAACCTCGGAGTTTTAAGACCATCCTGCATTTTCATAAAAAAAAAACAATGTTCCTGCCGATCCATTTCATCTCAATCATGTGTTCTCTACATCTGAATCACATCCATTCATTCCTAAAAAAAACCCTGTTATGAGATGGTCGTCTCCCTCGTAGTGTTCGTCCTCTGTGAGCCTTCTCCGCTACCTTCTTCTCCCTCGTCGTGCTTCTATTTGTTCATTTTCTTCTTCCTGATTAATCTATTTCCTTAATTTGATTATCGTTCGAGTATTTTCACAAAATTTGTGTGTGGCTTTCTAATCGGAGAAATCCACGTAACACAATATTCACCAAATCGACGTCTCTTCCAATTTATGTCATAATAAGTGACTAGAACAATTTGTAGGGTTGTAGGCCCTAGAGGTTCCGAAGATTGTTTGGCAATAGTTTATGTATGCTATATTGTGACTTGAATATTGACTCCTATTCTTATCGTTTTAGCTAGCAGGCGTTTGGAGAAAGAAATCTACTCGTGATCATGACACTGTTTCATACCTCTTGGTTAGCTAGGGTATGTATGGATCGATCGTCTTGTATATAGATATAAATTGACTTTGTATATTTATCATCGAATAAGAGATTAGGTATACTATCCGAATAAAACGTCGAGATATAACTCGACTTCGTTTCCTTTTGATTAGTATCAACAATAGTTACATATACATAGAGCACCTTTTAATTAGATAATTAGAGTTGGTGTGAGTGTGACTGACTTGTGGTGATAGTCTCCATGTTCATCGAACCGAGCTATATATGACACCATGATCATCATCGAGATGTGCAATAGTGGAAACGAAAACATAAACGAAATCGAGAGGGGTTTATGAAGAGAACGTACACCATGGACAATGAATCAATTGTGATATATATATATATATATATATATATATATATATATATATATATATATATATATATATATATATTGGGATCTAATTCGACGGATGTTGGCGACTTTCGCGTCGAGAATGAGTTTTACAGGCTTTTGTGATTGTAACTTGTAAGTGACGTGTTGGGCCGGTGTTAATATGTTGAAAACTCACCTCGCTTGTCTTTGCTTTCGTTTTAATGACATTTAAGCTTTTTAGTTATTAGTGTCATTTAGACTTTGAACTCAAATTAGCTTATGACAATTGAACCAAGTATTCGATCTAATTCGACCGGTGTTGACGACTTTAACGTTGAGGACGAGTTTCACACATTTTTTTATTATTTTTTTAACTAATCAAATGTTCTAATTGAACCCAAATTGAATCCAAGTCAATAGGTGCTCCACCCGATTCGGCCACTATTGGCAATTAAGATTTTTTTGGTTTAAGTCAATGAGTATTCAATCTAATTCGACCGGTCTTGACGACTTTTGCGTTTAGGATGATTTTCACACGCTTAGTTATTATTTAAATTTTTCTATATTAACTAATCAAATGTTCTAATTGAACCCAAATTGAATCCATGTCAATAGCTGCTCGATTTAATTCGACCGGTGTTGACGACCGGTGTTGCCAATTAAGATTTTTTAGTTTAAGTCAACGGATATTCGATCTAATTCGACCGATGTTGATGACTTTTGCATTGAGGACGAGTTTCACACGCTTTTTTTATTCTAATTTTCATTAACTAATCAAATGTTAAAATTGAACCCAAATTGAATCCAAGTCAATAGGTGCTCGACCTAATTTGACCGGTGTTGACGACCATTGTTGACAATTAAGATTTTTTGGTTTAAGTCAAGGGGTAATCGATCTAATTCAACCGGTGTTGGCGACTTTCGTGTCGAGAATGAGTTTTACACGCTTTTGTGATTGTAAGTGATGTGTAGGGTCGGTGTTAATTTGTTGAAAACTCACCTCGCTAATCTTTGCTTTCATTTTAATGACATTTAAGCTTTTTTGTTATGAGTGTCATTAGACTTTGAACTCAAATTAGCATATGACAATTGAACCCAATTGAACCAAGTCAATGGGTATCTGATCTAATTCGACCGGTGTTGGCGAATTTCGCGTCGAGAATGAGTTTTACATGCTTTTGTGATTGTAAGTGATGTGTTGGGTCAGTGTTAATATGTTGAAAACTCACATCGCTTGCCTTTGCTTTCGTTTTAATGACATTTAACCTTTTTTGTTATTAGTGTCATTTAGACTTTGAACTCAAATTAGCTGATGACAATTGAACTCAATTGAACAAAGTCAATGGGTATTCGATCTAATTCGACCGGTGTTGACAACTTTAACGTTGAGGACGAGTTTCACATGCTTTTTTATTATTTTTAACTAATCAAATGTTCTAATTGAACCCAAATTGAATCAAAGTCAATAGGTGCTCGACCTGATTCGACCACAGTTGGCAATTAAGATTTTTTTGTTTAAGTCAATGGGTATTCAATTTAATTCGACCGGTCTTGACGACTTTTGCATTGAGGATGCTTTTCACACGCTTTTTTATTATTTAATTTTCTTATATTAACTCAAATGTTCTAATTGAATCCAAGTCAATAGGTGCTCGACTTAATTCGACCGGTGTTGATGACCGGCCTTGCCATTAAGATTTTTTAGTTGAAGTCAACGGATATTCGATCTAATCCGACCGATGTTGACGACTTTTGCATTGAAGACGAGTTTCACACGCTTTTTTTATTCAAATTTTCATTAACTAATCAAATGTTATAATTGAACCCAAATTGAATCCAAGTCAATAGGTGCTCGACCTAATTTGACCGGTGTTGACAACAAGTGTTGGCAATTAAGATTTTTTGGTTTAAGTCAAGGGGTGTTCGATCTAATTCGACCGATGTTAATGAATTTTGCGTTGAGAACGAGTTTCACACGATTTTTTATTATTTAATTTTTTATTAACTAATCAAATGTTCTAATTGAACCCAAATTGAATCCAAGTCAACGGGTATTCGAACTAATTCGACCGGTGTTTACGACTTTTGCATTGAGGACGGGTTTCACACGGTTTTTTATTAACTAATAAAATGTTCTAATTGAACCCAAATTAAATCCAAGTCAATAGGTGCTCGACCTAATTCGATCGGTGTTGAAGACCAGTGTTGGCAATTAAGATTTTATGGTTTAAGTCGATGGCCATTCGATCTAATTCGACCAGTGTTGACGACAAGTTTCACACACTTTTTTATTATTTACATTTTTTTATTGACTAATCAAATGTTCTAATTGAATCCACATTGAATCTAAGTCAACAAGTGCTCGATTGAAAATTAAGATTTTTTGGTTTAAGTCAATGGGTATTCGATCTAATTCTACCGATGTTGATGAATTTTGCGTTGAGTACGAGTTTCACACAAGTAACAAAGTTATTATTCCTTAGTGTGCCATCAAAGATGTGATTTTTTGTACTTTTTTCATCTAACATGTAACCCTTAAGTTTAATTATTATTATTATTATTATCTTTATCTCTTTTAAAAGAACAAGCAACAAACTTACTATTCTTTCGATGAGTGCCGAGTTTCACACTATCAGTTGCTAGATGGTCATGTTTCTTATCACTAGAATGTTTAGTAACACTGAAACACACACTTCATCCTAAAGAACACTTTTAGTACAACCAATGTAAATCCCCGCCACGAAGCGCGGGCTTCCGTTCTAGTAAAGAATAACATACCAAGCAATTAAAAATGCAAGCATGCAGCAAATTAAGTAGATCATACCATACCAAGCAAAGTAGAACGTCAGTACTCACCGTCTCAGCATGTCGGCGATTACAAGAGCTATGGCTTGCTGGAGGAAGCCGTTGGCTGTGACAGCAAGGTCTCCCTCCAAGGGGATAAGAGGTGTCATCCTGCACTCCGCCGTGAGGTTCTCCCGTTCGAGATAACGGGCCCATACGAAGTCCAAAGAAGCCCAACGGTCTTGTATCCTGAGGATCCGCCACTCGTCGAGCACCCGGGGACCCCTCAAGCAACCCGGCTGACGCGCGAAACGCAGGATGCGCAAGAGCTTCACCCCTCGCCTGACCACATTGTAGTTGGGCGCAGGTGGGGGAGACAGAGGGCGCGGTTGTAGGCTCTGTCTGAGGCGTCCTCGAGATTGCCGTTCTCGTGAAATAGTTGCAGGATGGCCCCCATAGTTGCGTCGTATAGTACCATCGCCATCATACGTGAGCAAAGAAGAAACGATCGACGGGAAAAAGAGGAAGCAAAGCAAAATGAAAGGAAAAAACCCCTAGATTAACCTAGCTAGCTACCCATCTCTCTGCTCTTCGTACTAAGGCAAAAAGAACACAAAGAC